CCGGCGGCACCGAGGCATCACACTAAGCACGTGCTTATCGCCGGCCAGGCGCGGCTGATGTCGCAGATCCTGGCGGCGGCGGCGGTGTCAGCGGCAGTTCTGAAGCGAGCTAGGGTGAGGCCGCGGCTCCAGACGGTCCCCATCCAGTCGTGCTTTCCGAACGGGCGACATGAAGTCAGGTGGCTCCCGCAGGGTGCGGTAGACCCCGTCCCATAACGGACAGCCTGTCGGAGGCCATCTGGAAGCCAGACAGGCGGCGGCGAGATTCCGTGCCAAACAGATACGGAGGAAACGCGGAGGGCAGCGCTGCAGTTGGGTTGGAAGCCCAGATGCGCATATCAGTGACCCTGACCCAGCATTGTGCAGATAAACTGCCAGATCCGGCTGGTCGAGCTGCTCCGAGCACGCTAGTGGCCGGGAAAGGCTGCGGTGGCCCGTTAGGGCGCGTGCCGGCGCGGTACTGCCTAGAAACACCGGTGTGCGACGTGCGTGTGCAGAGGGATCCGCCCTGCCGCAGACAGACTCGGAATAGTCTGCGTGCGATCGCTCATCTCTGCGGACCGAATTACGTCCGGCTGGCCAATTGTAGGCGCCAGACAGACAGATTGCAGTGTGGCCGTGAGCCAGGTGATGGTCAGAATCGATTCCAATGCACATACCTCCCCTGACGTCATCATCTGAACTAGCCGATAGCAGACCGAACCGGCCGGCTGATGACATTCTCACCGTACCAATGTCGCCGAAAGATCGGCTTTCCTCTGGGAAAAATGGGCAGACGTGGGACGTGACAAAAGTCCGCCGAGGCGTGACGCAAAAGTGGCCATTTCTCGGCGGTCGCGGTCACCGAGTAAAAACACGGCCCGCCGGCGCTGCGGCCGGCCCGACCAGACTCTGAAGGTCGTCACCGGCCGTGGAAGGACGAGGCCGGTGGGATGGAGAGAGAGCCTCCATCGTGACCAATTCCACAGACCGGCCTGCACTCATCAAAGCACCGATATCGCCGAGACAATGGCGAAAGACACGGCGACGATAAGCGGACGGTTTTTACGAGCCCCTTACGTTCTTGGGTAAATGCCAAACTTGAATATTTATCCGGCGTCCGCCACGAAGGTCAGATGAGGCTCGTAAATCTTGCGCTTGTCGGTGATCCCGCTCACCGTTAGGCTTATTTTTGACGGCCCACGTCACGGCCGCCCCTGGATCAGGTGTTGGTGAGAAACAGTGAGCCGTGTGAGAGCGAGACGCCTCGGCGCGGACCGCAGCCGGGCTGCGCGTGCTCAGTAAGCGTCTCAGCAATGCCGCTCAGCAATGTCTAGACTGGACGGAACTCCGCGTGCCCTGTCGTACCGTGCCAGTCGCCGTCTCCCCGAAACGGCGCGTGGCCCGGCCCGGTCGCGGCCGGCTGTCGACCCCTGCAGGATGCCATGAGTGGAGATAACGGCAGCCGGACACCCGGGACTTGCAGATGGGAATCAGTGCAGACCGACGTTGGTCTAGTTAGTGTCGGGAAACGATCTCCTGGAAGTGCAATGCTAAGTTGTCACGGAACCGACTGACAAGTTGATCAGTTCGGTTGACTGCTGGGTTGACCTATAGTTAGGCCTTGGTTTTAGCCGATGGTTTTCAACTTCAAGTCCCGATAAAAGAGGTATTGCATGCTGTCCTTAGCACGAGTGCGAGAGCTGTAGTCACTATCATAGCTCCAGAGTGGAGCACTGAGTCCCGTTCACCCGACCCGCTGAACGGGGGTCGGGCCGGCCGGGTGCAGGCAGATGAGCTCGGCCCGCTCTCAAAACGAGCTCCGGTCGTGGGCCGTTGAACGGAGCTCGGCCGTAAACGCTTATATCATCGCCACATGCAAGCCGATCGGCCGGCCGGCCGGTCGGTCGGGTCAGCGGCTGACCCCGCAGACTGCCGGTCGCGGCTCGACTTCCTGTGTACCCGTGCCTGTGTCTGACGCTCTGCCTGTGTGATTTGTCACCCCTGACTTGTATCTGACCACCCTGTCCCCTCCCCAGGCGGACGGCCTGCGCGTGGTCACCTCCATCCTGACGGACGCCAGGTCCACTGAAGAGGAACGCTCGGAGTGCGCCGGAGTGATCGCCCAGGTCACCTCCCCGTGGGTGGACAGCATCCACCACGTGCGAGGCATCAGCGACCATGTCGAGGACATCATCAGGGAACTTATTGGTAAGTGTCAACTACACTGTACAAACTGTAACAAGGCGGATAGCGGAAAACCCCGCGTCAGAATACACTGGCATCGGCGGCACACCAGAATAACAATAATTTTGAGGACGACACATTTGGGCGTCTGAATCATAACAACCACGCCAGACTTCCTGCTGCCGTTAATTAACTTCTAGCCGCCATTCATTATTTCATTTTTCATCACTCATTAATTCCGCCGTGATGTCACGCGCTGCCCGTTTAGGACCGTGTGAACAGCCCGGCTAACCGACCCCCGCTCGGTCCCACAGGTCTGGCGGCCACTACGGACTCCGTGGAGACCCTCCTGCTGGCCTCAGCAGCGCTGGCCAACCTGACATTCCTCAACATCGGGGCCGTCCGTCTGCTGCTGCATAACGGCGCAGCGAAGGTGCTCGTGCAGGCCACGCGCAACGCAGACACCTGCTCACTCTTCCTCAAGGACCAGGTACGCGCTGGAGGAGAGCGAAGGAGGGAGGGGCTGGAGTGTGATGAGAGGGGGGCCGTAGCCCTACGACACGGTATTCCTAGCCTAAATACATACAGTCACACCTGGCTTGGCCGAGCCGCACAGAGTCGCCCCGCTCCGCCCCACCACTGGACGGTGGGTGTCCGGTGTCTCTCACTAAAAGTCAGCCCCACTGTAAATATGCGGGGGCACGCTCCGCCACGAGCTCCGTGCGGCTGCCCTGACCGCAGCGCGCCGGGTCCGGCGGCGTTCCGTTCCCACACGCTCGGATCCAGTGTGGCGCTCACCTGGCGCTGCCAATTCCAGCGAGTGGCCGACTGCCGAAATTATCCAGCCCGCTTTTGCCTCGCGCCCTCACGCGAGACCGGCACGCGAAACCCAGCGCGTGACGTCACGTGGCAAGGATGTGACGCTCGCAGTTTGCGTCAGACGATAGACGGCTCTCTGAAAACGGAGAAACACATGTGTCAACTAGAGCTGTGGGCGCAGAAAACATCCCAGTGATGGCGAATATCGGCATTTTTCCGCGAAACAAACGCACACGACCCAATTCGGCACGCTCCAACACCCACCTAATTTAGAACAGCATCCAGCTTTGCGAGTCATGACGTCGATACTCGATAGTAACGGCATAGCTATGAATCGCTGGAATGTATACCTGTGTAAATGTAGTGTCTGCTCAAAGCTTTTCTCGCACTCACCGATCACGTCTCTCTTCGTTTCTCAGGTGGCCACCATCCTGGCCAACATGGCGTCTGTCACCGAGTGCCACGAGGAGGTCCTCCGCAGTGGCGGCCTTTCCGCCCTGCTCTCCTTCCTGGAGGAGCGGCCGGCCGGCGGTCAGAGGGCTGAGCCAGCCGTTCAGGCCGCCGAGCGCGTGCAGCAGAAGGCGGCCATCGCGCTGTCTCGTCTGAGCGTGCGCCGCTCCGTGGCCCTGGAGGTGGCCGAGTCGGGCGGCCTGAAGCGACTGGTGCAGCTCTGCCGAGACGGAGCAGAGAGGAACCACTCGGACGGCGTGCTCGTCGCCTGCCTGGTAAGTAATATATCAACACACCCACAGAAATGCATTCATAGCTACATTGGTACCAACCTGTTTCCATGCATACGGACAGGCAGATAAGTAGGCAAGCATTCCAAAAGTAGCGATGCAGTCTTGCAGGCAGACAGACGAGCAAACGTGCACACACAAGGCCATACAGGACGAAGACAATAGTGGAGCGTCTGTCTAGACCGAGCCATGCACGGGGTCGGTGACATACCGGGGGGGTTAGTGCTGGTGCTGACTCAGAGACCAGGTGTAGCACCACCAGCCGGTCTCACTGGCCGCTCCAGGTGTAACGCCCCCGGTCAGTCTCAGTCGCCGCTCAGACCCCAGTAAGCCTCTTGTGGTTAGTTATCGGAGCGGAGGCAGACGTCGCCCCTCGCACGCCACGACGGGAGTGGAGACCGGTCCATCAGACATAGACAGGCTGTCTTCCAGACGGACACATCGGCAGACAGTCTCAGACAGAAGGGAATAAAAACAGACAAACAGACAGACACACCACAGAAAGGCAGGCACCATTTCAGGATAGTATGCTGAGCGACACCGGAGGCAAAGCTTTCACCATGCTAATTGTTTTTGGTTTCTAGTTCCCGCTGGTATTGCCCTGATCCAAGCAAATCACCACCACACTAAACTAACCCACTTTTCTTTTGTTTGACAGGCCACTCTGAGGAAAATGGCATCTGCATGTGGCAACGACGTCTTCAAAGACGGCAACGGCCTAGACCTGGTGGAGCCTCGACTTCTCGAGACCTTCCTCCTGTGTTCTTCCAAGCAGGAGAGCTACGTGTGAACTGGCGTCAGGGCTGCTCGAGCTCTCCGCTCGCCTCGGAGAGCCCCACGACGCAGCGGCGCCCCCGCGAGACCCGACCGGAACGCGGACCGCACAATTACCCGTCCGTCCGTCCGTCCGTCCGTCTGTCCGCTGGCGAAGGAGGCCACAGTGTGTGTGGCTCGTCTGCAACTACCTAGCCCATCTAGTCTTCCATGTCGGCCCGTGGAGAGGCCGCCTTTGTACTATACACGTGCCCACTGTACGGTGTTCGTCGTCCCGTTTGGACCGTTTGCGTATCACAAATAAAGCCTAGTCAGTCGTTGATTATCATACCTTTGTTTGGGAGATGAGATACCAACGAATAAAACAGGAGTCACTTGCAGCACGCGCTATGCTGAGCATGCAGGTCTATAATGTAACAGATGGAGCTCTAGCTACACCATACGCAATTGATCAATGTTGACTAGAACGCAAATGATGCAGTGAAAAATGAAAGACAAATATCAATAGGAAACTTTATTATTGCGATTCTGCCTCCGATGAGCGAGCATATCACACGGGGGACAAATAGCCTCAGGCTCCCATCGGGACCACTGTGAAGGGGGGAGTGGAGAGAGGCAGGGACGGAGGCAGGGAGGGAGACCGGGGAATGTGACATGGGCTGCAGCACCAGACGTTACAGGAGCCGGAACACAGCATCATCACATATTTACCTTAGCCAGAAATAGGCCTGTCGGTGTCCCTGCGCGGTACAGAGCAGTACACCAGACACCGGGACGGGACTGTCACATAGATTCCACGCGTATACGGTCGGCCGGCAGAGGGGGCAATTATCACAGAGCAGTCAGCGCGCCGGGACGGTCGTCAGAACACTCACAGGTCTGCACTCCTCGGTAAGTAGGATTGATCAGTGATCACCATCTCCATCTCAAATAACTGACGCTACACACGGTTCCGTAGTCCGTACCTATTGCGGCATCCAACGCACACGGCCAGACGCGGGATCCTACAGTACTGAAACTGTCGTGACGCTCCTCAGCGATGGATTATGTCAGTGCTTTAGGTAGAACACGCCACAAGAATTGTTCATTTGCTCTCGCAAACAAGCACATGATGTCCATACTAAGACCCTTCGGTAGACGCAGAAAGCCCGGGGCGTGTCCTTCATTTCTAAATCTACGGGTACTTCCCCTACCGGCAGATGATCGCCTAATTATATTTCAGCTTAACTTCCTCTCAAATCAGGACCTAAGACGAGCGCACGCCCCACACGACTCCGGTCGCGATGCCACATTCACCCGCTCCCAAGCACATCCCTCACCAGTAGCAATTTCTAACTGTCTAGCGTCAGACCAAACATCTGTTGTTAACACCACACACCCCTCACAGCTCACAGGGACGATACAGCGTGATAAATGCCATCAAAACCGGGAGCACAGCTGCCATTAGCAGTCACCGCTCTAAAACCGCCCACCAGACAGCCTAAGCAGTATACCCACCTACTCTGAACAGGCACATTTATGTCACACCGTTATTTATCGCTACCAGATGAAGGCAGGCCGCATAGGAATAACTTCAACATCAGACAACAGTAAAATATGCCGCAGAGATTTGCCAGGTACGCTCCCATGCAAATATCACCAGCTTTTATCACATCCGTACCAAAGTCGTTCATAAAAGATCACCACTCATGGGTTAACATTCGAGTACAGATGCCCTTTTGGAGCAAGACATGGAATAAAATATCTAAGTATTCGCAGTTTCGACCAAGAATACCAGTTGCCTCTTAAACCCTGACAGTGGGTCTAAAACTAGAAGGCGGAACAACAATCTCAGAAAGGCTCAAAATAGCAATCTTTAAAAAAAAAAACACTCACCTGTCGACTTAAACACTTAAACTAAAAGGATGCCAACAGACTACTCGTTACAGCGCTAAACATGGGAAACATTACGCACACAGCCGAATCAGGTTGGTTAGTTCGTTGGTTCGGATCACCACTTATAGGACAAGAAAGGTCTCAGCAAGGAACCTTTCAGAACAGCAGAAACATCCTAACGGCAGAATGCCACTTACCTACGGTTAAGACGTATTAGCTAGCGTGTGAGCTGTTGTACTTGGTACGAACACACTAAGAGAGGGGGCGAGTCCCTATCACGACCTTAAAATATGGCATCGCATTATACCCTACATCGCAGTGGAATGTCAAACGTGTCCGGCAGTTACGACCTACATCAAGGACGGTTGACCGCATCTGCTGCCGACACCCACTCAGTGTTCACTTGCAGCCATTACATCCAACTGATGCGACATCTATAGACGATCGGCAGTGGCCAGCGCTGTTCACTCCACCGCCGAACGGCTTACAACTATCATGGCCGCGCCTCCGGCGTCTTATGAGCAGCCCGACCGTATTCCTCTTCTCCGTCTTCTTCCTCGTCCTCTTCCGCATCATCTTCATCATCATAGTTCCGCTCCTCCTCCTCCTCTTCCTCCTCGTACTCGTCATCCTCTCCATCTCCGTCCTCACACTCCGCGAGCGGCGGCCGGGAGCAGCGCTCGGCCAGCGCCGCGTACGACCCCGTCGGAGTCAGACACACCAGAACCACGGTCATGTTGTCGCACCCGACGCCCGTGAACATGAAGTCAGACGCCAGGCAGTGAGAGAGCAGCTCCTCGCAGATGGTCTCCGGCGGCAGGCCGCGACCGATCCGCGAGCGGACGAAGGCTACCACCTCCTGGCAGGAGGAGCGAAGGAGGGTCAGTCGAAGCACGGGGAAAGCTGGACGCCGCGGACAACTACGCTGCAAAGCCGTACTAGCGATACATTAAACTGGCGGAAAACTACAGAAGCCGGAGGATGGAGGAGACTTGCCTGATTGGATATGATGTTCCGCTTGACATCATCAATAATTCACGATGTTGGATATGGCGCACTAAAAGATAGCGAAGTGACTTTAACAGATTTACAAGGCGCAGGAGAGCTCGACCTTAATGTGAGCCAACCCACCTTGGAACTTGGAAGATCTGATATATAGCGTAGCAGAAGATGAAAAGCGAATCACCTGATCGACATGATTTGTCCCAACATGGGATTAGACATGACATCCCATCCGATCCATCTTTGGACATGCCGTCCTTACTAACCCACCTGGTTGGACATGACGTCCCAGATACCGTCACAGGCGAGTATGACAAACTCCCAGTCGGCAGTGATCTGGCGAGTCTCCACGTCCGGGAACGCTGTCGGCAGAACAATAGACATGGCCACATGAATGAGCAGCCAGTCATGATGAACACGCAACACCCAAAGACGGACAATCAGACAGACAGAGAGACAACACTAACAGGCAATGCGGATTGCGGAGTAGCGGACTCATGAAATACAGTCATACGATGGATAGCAATAAACTCGTATCAACAAACAATGACAAGCTCAAGCTCAAGCTTATGAAGTCCAGTCAATGGCCTTTTCCTAGAGAAGCTTAGAGTGTTGTGGTCTCTGGACTGCTCACTAAATACGGCAGAAGCATTATCGCTGACTAAATGCCGCATCACTGGGAGGTTGACTGAATGACCGCATGTATAAAAACATTTAGATATTATTGAACTTTTGCTTCTGTCAGTGGTTGTACTGCTGAAATAATTACGAGCGAGCGAGCGCAGCGAGCGAGCGAGCGAGTTCATACTGAATTAAGGGAAAATCCTGAGTATGAGCGGCCGGCCGGCCGGCCGTGGGGACGCTCTTCAAAAGCTAATATCTTAGGAACGGGACATCCGATTGACAAGCGGTCTTCTTTACTGAATGTCACTTGGACGTTAAAGTTCTGTGGTGTGATGGCCACCATGCGTTCTTGCCAACCACCGCACGTAGCGCGTGGTAAAGTTAGACATTTTTTAAGAACCCCCAAAATTGCAACCTCAATAACGGCACAACGGTTGGGCCGATTGAATTGAAACTCGGTACACAGTTAGGTCTCCATCAGATAATTCATCTGCATGTGTTAAGGTTGGGGTGCTACAGCACGTGCGCACGTGCAGGGGGCGCTCCCAGATCTCGAGAACGGCTGGGCCGATTGCGCTCAAATTTGGTACACGGTTGGGGACCAGTTAGTAGGGTGCCGTGCAAAAGTCAGTTTGGACCCCGCTTGCACGTGCGCACGTGCAGAATGCCGCTTCCAGATCTCAGGAACGGCTGGGCCGGTTGCGTCCAAATTTGGCACACCGCTAGCGACCGGTTAGAAGGGTGCTTTGCCCGTTGGAAGTACCCTCTCGCCCTTCCGCACGTGCAGGGCTCACTATCTCGCTCGCTCGTTCTTCGCCCAAAAGGCGTTTTACTGGTATTTAAGCCGCTGAGCCAACGACACACTTAGCCGCCAAACACAGCCAATGGTGGCTAACTTATCCAGTGTGTTTCTCTCTGACATGTAAATAATGCCCGGTGTTTGGCAGCATGATACACCTAGTACTTTAATACCTACCTTTAACCACAAATAGCCTTTCCATATCGCGTTAAACAATCCAGTAAGCACACTGCGGCTGTAGTCGGTCGACCATGTGCTACTCTTAGCCCTCCTCTCTACCACCCCTCGCAAATTATGGCACCATCGTTATAAACTGAACTAACCTGTCACCACCTGATGCTCGGCCGTCACTGCGCTGTTCTGTTTGAATGTGAAGTCACCCAGCGCGCGGGACAGGGCCAGGTAGCCGTTGACGCGGTTGGCGACCACCGATCCGCCGGCCGCGGTGATCCGTTCCTGTTCGCGCCGATCCTGGGGCTTGTGGTCCACGGAGAGCGGCTCTGCGCGACCGCACACACTGGCCACGGCACGTGAGTCGCCCGCGTTGGCCTGCGGGAAGGGACAAGGGTCAGATCGCATACTGTTCAGTGTTCAGGTCATATTCTGGTTCCGGTGTCGAAGCCTTGACTAGTTATATGTAGTTAGTACTTAGTAGTTACAGAAAAGCTTTGATTCATGAGTACAGACCGATTACAAATTCCGGATCGCTGAATTTCAACGATGCCGCACTCTTCTGAAAACGTTTGCCACTTCTTCTGGCACGTCAGCGCCACCATGTATCATCCTTTCGGGTTATCTGCTTAATCTCACCACATCTCGTCTTACCAAGTCCAGTTCAGGCACTTATCTATCCCATATTCTCATGCTCCAAATTATCTTACCCCACCGCTTACCAAACCCTCTTCACTCACACAATAGAGAACTCCATCCTTGATGAGGGCACAGACAGCCGTGGTGCCCGCTCGCACGTCCCGCAATGTCTCATCCGCCAGCATCATCCTGTCGAGCTGTAAGCACGCCTGCTGGAGCGCCTCCGCCAGCCGGCCGACGCTGTACTCGGGTCGGCCCACTAACACTGTGTGTAGATGTCTGCTGGCGAACTCTGCCACCTTGTCACCTGTGGGGAGGGGAGGGAGAGGCGTCACTATATGCAAGTCAACACCACCACAGTCAGCTCGCAGCTTGGGAGGAGTCCGGACCCGGAAACATGCGCAAATAGCGAAAAACACAACATTTGACCGAAAAAAACACGACCGACAAAAGACGCAAGAGGCAGAAACATATTCGCTCGCATCATATCCCTAACGGTGTTTCACGAAAACATAATGGTGCGCTTCGATTATGCGAATTTTACTTTCTACACAGATTAAGTGTGATAACTCTTAGCGACGTGAAATTAGGTACGTGCAAAATCAGGTCTAAATTAGATCAAAACCCGTCTAAAACGTGTGAAATTAGGCCTCAATTACGACAAAAGAAAATGACTTTCCAGTAACCTAAACATTTCAAGACAGCAAGTTCAACAAAACGACGTAGCGACTGCCTAATGGTACCGACACCAAATCACCGCCTCCCCACTCACCTCCATGGCCATCAAACACGGCGAAAAACGCCGCCGCCGGGTCACCGGGCAGTGACAGAATGTGTGTGTGCGCGTCCTCCATGGTAGCGCGCCATCCCTGCATACAGCTGGAACCGACCCGGTACGCGTCCGACCCGAGTCCGTGCGTCTCCTTCTGGGTGATGGGCTCGGACGGTATCTGACCCATGGCGGCACGTCACCTGGGTAGACGGACAAAATAGGGTCATCAGAATTCAGATGTGTGTCGAAATGTGTTAAATGCGATTTAGCAAACTGCTTATTTACATATGGAAAAAAACATCGTCGATCCAGCGCACAAAACGATCGATCGAATGATCGCACCAATAAAACGAGCAACAATAGTGTGGGACAATTCTGATGCAATCATATACGGTGCCCTTTGTTATCGATAGACGAAAACTGAACGGTAATCCCCATATGCGCAGACAAAAGACAGCACGACGTTGATACGACGAACAATATCCTAAGCGTCCATGTTTCCGCGTCTCCGGATGCAAAACCGGAAAATGACGACGATGACGTAACTTTCCTCACAGTAATGATCTCACCATGCCTGGCATGACATGAAAACCTGTACGAAATCATATCCCCTTGTGTTGCTTATGCACTCTTGGTGTTAGCGCTCCCAAACCATGACAAATGACAACATGCTGTCTTATTTTGTAAATGCAGCATTTGCATTTTGAATGAGCACAGCTGTAATTCGCAATCAGTACCTAGTACATAGAAGGTAGAAGCTAGGTAGAACTGTTTGGGCCCAGAATGTCAGATATTGAATAATATGCAATATAATAAATGCCCCAAGTGTGATTAAACCATGCAATGCCTCTAGGCTTTTTGATTGCCTGATTGACAATACCTGACCCCCCTACAAAACAGTGGCCAGTCTTGCATACCCTTGGAGTGCAGAACAACCAAAGAAGGGTTTCTCAGGCCAGCTTGTAAATTCTTAGTCCCTTTTAGGCTTTTAGTTTTACCTGATAAGATTGATCCAAAGAAGTGATATTTCTGGAGGTCCTAAAATTTCTTGCATAATGCAGTTCCCAGCATGACCATCATTAGTGCTGTTTTATAATTTTACAGGAGAAGCAAAAAAAAAAAAACACTTGCAAAACAGCTGTGAGTCTGTGACACACAATACATATTATGACATGTATTATTTATGCACCTGATATCTTAGCAGAGAAGACAGCTAACTAGTTTTTGCTTCCTAGTATACCTACAGCTTGTCAATCTCAGTTGACTGGACTAAAAAGCTTAATTTTGATTAATTTGGCATTACAATTAACAACCTCTTGTTGAGAACCCTCAATTTATTCCTTCTCCTACTGAATAATGTGTGATCCCAAATGCCAGTTTTAAAAATAAATTCACTGAGCAAGGCTATAATTAGTCTCATTCATCCATGAGCTTCACCAACTGCTAAAAAAACAACAACAACACACAGGCATGAAATATTAACCAGTTTCCAACCTTGTGGGCAGGTTTTAGGAAGAAAGTAAGAGGAGCTGACAACTTTTAAGCTGGCTGAAATGACCTCAGGTGTGAGTTGGCCAGGTCTGAGATTGATATCTAATCTGGGAGCTGAAAGTAATACAGATGATGATGGATTTAGCTGCTGGATGGATGATTACAGAATACAGATGATTAATGGTGGATAACTAAGCTGATGGTGTCATCCATCTAGAGTCAATGACTGTGAATAATTGAATAAATAGGCAGGCCCGGTAGGTCCTATGTAAATATTATTGGCTACTATGGATGGAACAAAAAACACATTAACAATTAATTAGACAGATTAAATAACATGACGTGTGATCTGCCCAGCCCAGCAATAGGTTACCTTGACCTACAATACTCAAAATAGACATAATCCTCCTTAGTCTCAGGTTTGAAACAAATTAATGACAAACCCAAACTTGAACGACAATGTGTCCACATCACATCATGGACATGACGTTGGATATGGATTGACAAAGATATGATAAGGATATGATGTTGAAAGGGACACAAGCCATAGCGAGCAAGTTAAAGTTGACTTCAGAGGTAAAAGTTCACAAACTCCATTGAATGATCTAAATTGGTAGGTAGGTATTTTACCTGCAATAGTGAGTCCCAGTCTGGATTTGCCTGTTGAAGATATTTTACTCTGACTTAGAAGGAAGACTGAATTGGAAAATTATGTTAAATATTCCTGGGAAAAGCCGCAAACGTAACTGAACTCACGGTATATAGAGAACTCAACTGATTCAAAAACACCCATACAAATCAAAATGCAATCAAAATAAGCAACGCGAAAATTTACCACTGCCCCCACTGCCCCATGCTTCTACCGCTAAAAATCGAAATAACAAGCAAGTGAAAGTCTTTCAGCTGATGCAGAAATCTTGCCAAAAATTATATTCTAGCCGAACGAAATAAATAAAAAATGAGGGTTATCATGTTTATTTTATTGAACAGTTTCTTTCAAAGCCTGTAAAAATACTAGAATAGAAAGTCACTGGTCATTTTGAAGCTTGATCAAAATTTCAAAAATATCAAACACTGAAGAAGTTCAAAGGATTTCAATAATCAGCTGGTACGTAATTGGTATGTGATTGTACACATGTGAGTACTCAAAGTTCGCCGCATTCGCCGCCATTGGACAAGATAGGTGAAGTGTGTCTGCATTTTTAGTTTTTACATATATATTCATTAATATTGCTTTGCAATTTGACTGTACAACTTACAGCAGGCTAGCAACCAGCGAATTATTGTGTCCTTTCACCCCAGGCAGCTTTCACCTTTTCTCAACATAGGATGTCTTAGTACCTACCTACCTACCTCAACCTGCTGTGCCTAAAGGTGTGAAAGCTGGAATTTTTCGAGCTACTGGATCAGAATATAAATTTAAAGATAATAAATGCTTCCTTTCAGCTCATTAGACAGGATTCGCTTAAGATTTCTCGCAACATTTGCGCCTTGCATTTAGCTTACATGTTACCTGTCCATATAGCCAAAGATGTTGTGTTTCTCTAAATAATTCACAGCTTGGTGCTTAGTTCTTTAACTGCAATTCATGTTGCATGGATCTAATTGATAGTCATGTCATTTTCCTGACATGCAATATCTTTTTTAAGTAACCACTAACCACATCAAGTAGATTCACACAGGGTTCTAAACATACACATCTCATGCAAGATCACTGATCACCCAATTTGCTTTTGCTACAATTTAAATAATAGGTAGGCAATCATACTGCCGTCCAAAGGCAAAAGTTTCATTGTCATTGCTATCCCACATCCCAAAGCATTTGTCACCCATATAAGTTGGTGATTTATTTTTCACTCTTTGTGTAACGTACACAGGTGGATGCTAAATATGAGCAACAGCCGCTGCAATTGAGGACAAGACTGCTCACCTTGCCTGGAGACCATGTCCGAGGGCGCCGCCGCCGCCGCCGCCGCTGTGCTGGATGACGCCGACAGTATCGGCGAGTACTCTGGCTCGTTGGACTCGGACTCGTCGGAGGAGCCCGCCGACGAGCCGCACCTCAAGTACGAGCGGATGGGCTCGGACCTGGCACTGCTGCTGGCTGCCGAGCCGGCCACCTGTCTCTGCGTCCACCCCAAACTGGTGCTGGTCGGTACTGGACTCGGCCGCGTGCACGTGTTCGATCACCTCGGCAACCGGGTGCGGCCGGCGCGGCAGCCGCACACGCTCTGCGTCAACGAGATCAGCGCGGACGAGGCCGGAGAGCACGTGGCCAGCTGCTCTGACGACGGCACCGTGTGTGTGCACGGCCTCTACTCGAGGGACAATAGCCACAGTCTGACGTTCGACGCGCCTGTGAAGACGGTGGTGCTGGATCCGCAGTACTCGCGCCCCGGCACCGGCCGCCGGTTCGCAGTCGGAGATAGCCGCGTCGTTCTGCACGAGAAGACGTTTCTGACGCGGCTGCGCGCCACCACCATCCACGAGGGCGACGGGACGGTGCAGGCGCTCAGCTGGCGCGGCCCGCTGCTGGCCTGGGCCTCCAACGGCGGGGTGCGCGTCTACCACACCGAGCTGAAGCGCGTCATCAGCCTGATCCGCTGCGACGTCGGAGAGCGACCGGCCAACCATCGCTGCCACCTGTTCTGGCGAGACCCGCGCCGGCTGCTCGTTGGATGGCGCCGCTGCGTCCAAATGGCCGTGGTCCGTGAGCCGCGCGACGCCGAGGCACGCGCCTCCGGTGTCGGAACTCACATGGAGATCACGCACATTTTCCGGACCGAGTTTCTAGTCTGTGGCCTGGCGGGGTGTGGGGATGAGCTGGTTCTCCTTACTCAGAGCGAGACCGGCGGCAGCGGGCCGCGGCCGCGACCCCAGGTGAGAGTGATCCGCCCGCTGCCAGAGGACTACGAGGAGCTCTCCACTGACGAGCTGACAGTGCGCGGATTCCAGAACTTCTCCTCCAACCAGTACCGGCTGGACTGTCTGGCCGACGAGGGTACCTTCTTCGTGCTGGCGCCCAGCGATGTGATCGTAGCTCGTCCTCGTGACACCGACGACCACATCGAGTGGCTGCTGGAGCACCACCGGTTCGAGGAGGCGCTACGCGAGCTGCAGGCGGCCGGGCCGGCCGTGCGCCGCCACTGCCTGCAGGACGTCGGCCGCAAGTACCTGGACAGTTTGCTGCAGGAGGAGCAGTACGAGACGGCCGCCTCGCTGTGTCACACCATCTTCGGCCGCAACCGGACGCTCTGGGAAGAGGAGGTGTACAGGTTCGCGGCGCTGCGCCAGCTGAAGGCCATCAGCGGCTACCTACCGCGCGGCGACTTCCACCTCGACTCAACTGTGTACGAGATGGTGCTCTACAACTTCATGCGCACGGACCAGGCAGAGTTCCTGCGCCTGGTGCGCGAGTGGTCGCCCAGTCTGTACCACTGCGACGCCGTGGTGAACGCTGCTCTGGAGCAGCTGCTGCACGACGCCGATAACCCGTGTCTACTGCAGGCGCTAGGGCTGCTCTACACACACCAGTGTCGGCACGACAAGGCGCTCGCCATCTACCTCAAGCTGGGCCACCCGGGCGTGTTCGACCTGGTGACCAAGCATGAGCTACACGCGGCAGTGGCCGACCGAGCGGCTGCGCTGGCGCGTGTGGACGAGGCGCGCACCGTCGAGCTACTGACGGAGCGGCCCGAGGAGTCGCCGCCGGAGCGCGTGGTCGCCGAGCTGACCGCGCTGCCGGCCGTGTTGTACCGGTACCTGTGGCGGCTGTACCAGCGGCACCGCCACCTCAGCGGCAAGTACCACGACCGGCTGGTGGAGCTCTCGGCCGAGTACGAGCGCGGGCGGCTGATGGAGCTGCTGCGCGCCAGCGGCGAGTACTCGCTGCAGCGCGCGCTGCACGTCTGCCAGACGCGCATGCTGATCCCTGAGACGGTGTACCTGCTGGGCCGAACAGGTGCCACCCGGGAGGCGCTCCAGCTCATCATGAACCAGCTGGCCGACATCAAACAGGCCATTGCCTTCTGCAAGGAGCACGATGACTCGGATCTCTGGGATGACCTCATCAACTACTGCCTCGACCAGCCCGTCATGGTGAAAGAGCTGCTGCTCAACATTGGCACGCACGTGGACCCACGGCGTCTGATCCGACGGATCGAGGACGGTCTGGCGATCCCGGGTCTGCGGGACGCGCTAGTGCAGATCCTGCACGATTACAAGGTGCAGGTGGACCTGCAGGACGGCTGTCGGCGCATCCTGGTCAGTGACCGGTTCCAGTTGCACGCGCGCCTGCAGCGCTGCGGCGCGCGCGCCGTGCCCGTGGGCGCGGCGGCCGCGTGCTGCGTGTGCGGCGGAGGCCTGCTGCACCGAGATCCGGCCAAGGCCGCCGATCTGGTGACCTTTTACTGCCGACATGCCTTCCACAGGGTCTGCCTGCCGGCCGCTCGGCCCGGCGCCTGCATCGTGTGTCGAAACGAGCCGCGCGGCCGGCTCAGGTGAGCTGACAGAGACATCAGATGGAGGGAAAGTGCTGTTTGTAGGGGAGCAACTTTCCAACAAGGCTGTAATCATGTGTGTTGGGTGCTTGGCATATTATGCATGTTAACGAAATAAGGAACACCTGCGAAGTGCGATCATGGCGGTACTTGGAGAAGCCAGTTATTTAAACCTCGTTTATCTGTCAAGTGCGAGAAATGAGTGGATGTTTGTATCTTTTGTGGCCCGCACCGATTATGTTGTGTACCTACGACTGTATGCTTATTGCTTGTGATCCTGTAACATATTGTGTAGTTGTATCGCCATGAGTATTTTTGTTTTATCTGCAAACATATCCTGCAATATACTTGAAGTTGCAGCATATGACTGTCCGCGACTGTAGATTTTTCACTTTGGTCAGTGGTCGTGGCGTCGGACTCGGATACTGAAGTGCGGGGTTCGGGAACGAAATGCGTGCAGTTACAAACAGCCCAGACCCGATGGTTCACATGTAGATATCACAGCTCATTGCTTTCGATGTCACGCAGCATTGTTTAAAAGCTCGAAAGCTATGCTCGAACGTTCGACAGGTAATCATCATTGAAAAACATTGAATATCTCATGGGAGTTGGCAGGTTCGCGGTAGATACCGATCTACCTGATGCATCAGGGAGAAAATAATTGAAAAAATCATCATAACGTTTTGACTTTGGGGTATGGGTACGCTGTTCTCTTACTCTTTTCTATAGAAAGAAGCAAATTAGTGGTTACATGATTATCATGTGACTGGACTAACATACACCAATTGAAGTTGATGCACCACTTGAATAACAAATACATGGTGTTTAAGCATAAGCACATAATATGTGTCAGATGCATAAGAACAGAAAGGAGAGAACATTGACAAAGTTGTTTATTGTACACAAAATGGTCACAGTGAGCAGCAAACACTAGGAAAAGGATGAAGTTCTTCATGACTGCATGGGAGAAGCCTCTTCGGTGCTTGTCTTGAATGCTTCTGCTTTGTCCTGAAAAAGTAAGGCAAAGGTAGCTGACTAAATTTTTCTGGCAAACAATGGTGATATACACCTTAAGCTAATTATTCACAAAAGAAAACAAAATTATTGTACAATATCAGTAGGGCACATTAGAAGAGCGATAGGACCATTTCATATAGGTCGTGTTTGTATGACATAAGATATATGACAATGGACATACCTTGACCTTGTCAGCTATCATCTGGGTAAGTTCGCTGAGACGAACCAATGCTTCACGTAATACATCAACTGCTGGTTTCTTGTACGTTTGGATTCTCAGATGCACTTCACGCTGTGATGGGTGAGGTATTGTGTATCCACAGAACTGAACATCCTTGTCCTTCAGTAGCACCCATCGTAATGAGTTCCCAAGGGTGTGGTCTTCACCATGCAAAATAAATGTCTTCACCCTATCGTCATCTCTATCATCAGCCAATATTTCAATGATACTTGTATCTTTGGCAGCCTCAGCAGCGTCTGCATTAGCGGGCTTCATCTTCAGACAGCAAATTGACTTTACCCCACAACGACGTGAACCCTTTTATCACAACCACAATTCGACACCGAGCTATCTTGATCTAATAGCACATCAAATCCCACACGTGCAACCATACGGTTTATATCTTGGCAACAGCCCAACAACAAACAGCCATCAAAATCAAGATTGTGTTTTAAATTTTACAGGAACGCCGAGAACGAACAAGTTGCCAGGCAACCTTGACGAAGCTGGCAAAAACTGTTCACTTATTTACGAATTGCCAAGCAACCTCCAAAACTGGACAAGTGCTGAACAGATACTACTGCGTCAGTATCTGTCGCTAGAGCGCCTTTTCTGACCTGATTAGTCACTTTTGCTCAATAAAAAATATTGCTTTGATTGAATTTGGTGACGTCAATAGCAAAACACGATAATATTTTTTATTTCAATGTAATGTTTCTTAAATGGGTTAGAAATCGGTCAAAATAGTCTGAATCTAACATAATGAATAATTTATTAATAATAGATTTTTCCAATTGAAGCTAAATTTTCAATTTTTCCATCAGTTTAGTTCGAAACTTGGCTCTAAACGGGAGAATTTGTTACGTCATCAACAGTGTAACCCATCTTCAGGCCGATGAAACCTTAGTTCGGCTTTAGGTTACACCCCCTCACCCCCTCATCATTTACAATTATATTGCAAAAATCGCGGAATTGTCCATTTATCCACCCTAACTCTTCAACAACAACAGTCCATTTATCCAGGTGCGGCTGCCTCAGCCTATTTGATTTTTTGAAGCTTCACCTACCTTACAACGGTTTATATAGCCTTGCTTACAACTCACAATTTTCATCTTATTATTAGGGCCAGCTAGGTATCTTGCCCACTTCCTATTGTTTCCTAGTATTCCGTGCTGGTGTTCTTTCTGTTTCAAGGCATTATTGATTGATTTTTTGTTTTTTTATTTTCATTTCGGATCTTTTTATATATTTAAATCACTTGACTCATTTTATAAGTTTAGTCATTTTAACTAATACCCATCTGTTCTTCTTGCAGATCACCACATCATGGATTTTGATAGCAGCACTGACCCAGCAGCTGAGTTCCTGGCTCGTGAGCAGGACCAGCTGGCAGGCATTGGGGATGACATCATCACCGGCACTGAGCCGGCAGCAGCACCTGCAGGTCAGCTAGCAGTTCCAGTCATGGTTGAGTCATTTTGTCCAACCCCATCTTGTCTTGGTTGACTTTTGACTGGAACCAATTACATACATAGATTACCTACAAATGCTTTTTAGTTAGGTATTACGGCTTTCTGATATCCAGCAAATATAACAATTGATACAATTTTCCTTACAATCTGTGTACTGTGCACCTTTGCCACCCTTGTTCATTGGGTTTTACTGTTTTAACCAAGCTATGTTTTAGCATGCTGTTTGCACAGTTTGGTGGCAATGAGCATGATTTATATTTTTGATAGTGATACTGATAAATGATAATGCTAGTTGCTCTGTAGTTTATGCTTAACTTATGATCACATTAGACCTTGAATGATAATTATTTGCATGATCTGTGCACTGCATGTTTTATCCATTAACACTCATAAAGGTATATAAAGCTAGAGCACACTTTCTGGTAAATTTTGTGATTTAGGCACATAACCATTGCCATATATGTATTAAATACTTTTGATATCCCTGCTTCTTTGATTTACAGAACAGTAGAACTTGACCTATGTTTGGTTACCTTTTCAATAGGTATCATTAATTGCCTTTCACTCTCAAAGCTAGGCTGGATTATCACTTTCAAATTTTCAATGTCACCCAATTTATTGAAAGTCCAGCAGTAGCAGAAGCACCAATTTGTTCATTTTACACCAATTTTCATTTTTGTTAACAGAAGCTTTTCATTCACAAACCATTTGCTATGAATCAGTTTCTAGTAGATGTGTGCATCAGCATGAAGATGAAAAGGTTGACTAAGTTCCAGTCCATCTTGATCTAGCATCTAACAGAGTCATATGTTTTACTGTTCAGTTTTGGTCAAAGAATCCACTGTGGTCATTGATTTGCACATGATTTCTGTTAAGTCCTTCTCCATAGTTGGCTGGCTAGCTGAGATAGGATTACAATGGTACCTAGTAAGGTAATTTATGCCTTGGTAGGAAGGAAATGTAGTATTAGCTGAATTAAGTTTGTTTTATGTTTCTGTGTCTGGAAACACCTTTCAAAAATCAAAACCCAAGTTTATGCCAGCTACCCGGTTCATTGCCAGCAATGCTGTTAGCTGCATGATTACATCAGCCAGTGCTTATATTAATCTGTTAACTGTTAAGATTTATCAGTAAAAAGAAAACAGCAAAACGTTGACACATAGAATGCCCAAAAAGGTCACACAAATATGAGATTTTCTTTACTAGTCCCAATGATACCAGCTTAAAGCCTTTGCCTGGCTCTGTGTCAGCCATTATTGGCTTGAGTAGCACTGTGTTGGCTGTGGTCTGACCCAAAGATGAGGAGACGCTGGACGCCGGCGCCTCGCCGGATAACCAAGGCTTCGAGATCCTCGGAACGGAGGGCCGGGGGGACGCGGGCTTTGACCCGATCTCAGGTCAGTGATGAGCTGGGGAGAGGAGAAGTGTAGCTTGGTCTCTGTTGCGGGTCAGTGTCTTCTCAGTGACCCTTCAATTAATGTCAAATGGATGCAGGTAGTGGCCTCATGGGTATGACTGGTGATATGTCGAGACGAAAGTCTTTAGTGACCACAGGGGAAGCAAATTAAGTCCTAACCACACGAACGAGGCCATCAATTTTGTATAGAAAATTAATAGCTATGTTGTGGTTTTCATGTAAATTTGTTTTTCCATGAAATCCATCAAATTTGTTATGCTCGCACACAAATATCAGTACCTCAGGCTTTACGAGTATATCCTCACGGTTATACACGACGCTAAGTGCAAACACTTGCTTTTTATTCCATAAACTGAGTTACACTGAAGCACAAAGCACTGCATGATCTTCAATCTGTGTGTCAAATTTGCGCTGCTCTATAACATGCAAGCATGTCGTCTATGCTTTTCTGCTCTATGCTCGGCACAACTGCTCGAAAGCCTCCTGGAACCCAAGGTTCTTATTACAACTCGAGTCCAAACCCATGATTCCATGCCGGAGTCCCAACTGATGACTCTTTGAGTGATTTGTGATTCGCCTCGGCGCTAAGCCTGCTGACCCGAATGACGAAAGCGAGGCGAAATGACATGTTGCACGCTGACGACTATGGCTTCTCGCTGTTGATACTGCTGTTCAAAGCTCAGGTGGACCGGTACCGGAAGCCTTCGTTACCCGTGCCCGGCTAAAACGTCTCTTGTCACGCTGCCTGCAACCCTGGGCCGGCTGAACGATGTGCTGCGCCGTGCTGTGTTACCAGAGCAATTATTTTGTTCTGTTCATTTCGCTTCAGTTCCGTTTAGTCGGGGACTGGCTAGTGGCTAAAGTGTGCTGTGCTGCCAGAGCAGTTCATTCGGCCCTGTTTCGTTCGCTTCAGTCGCCGGCTGACTGGTCCTTGTCGTGTTCTGTGTCGCCTACCGCTGCCCGCTGTGACCGTGCGCCGCTCTGTGTGTGCGCGTGCCGTTTCAGCTCCGCTGGACGCGGGACCGGCCGGTGACGTCCAGCCCCAGGCGCCGGCACCAGGTGAGTTAGGCTCCGGCGTCATAGTTACAACTTTCATCACCGTCACCGTCAGCCCCCCCCCCCCCTGCCACCGTTACCGACACCGATACCGACACCGATACCCCTCCCCCTGTCTGTCAGTTCGGCACACCATTGCTATACGTTGGCCACACTCCGGAACACCATGACGCAGTATCCAACTGCGGGAGTCTGCATGACCTACTGTATATTTTATTCTGATGTTCGTGGCATGTGTGCTATTGTTCGCTGCTGCTGCGTCATAATATGAATGCTCTCGATTCTCCGATATATTCTGTTATTCCCCCCCCCCCCTCACGGACTTCTCTATACACCGCCTATACGGAGATGCATGTGTTCTTCCCTATGTTCCCCCTCCCTCTTTCTTTTACTGTCCTTCTTTCGTCCCGATTAGCACTGTTCTGTCGTTTGCCTATCAACTCTATAACCTCCCCTACACCACCTTTGTCTGATCAGTGACCAGCTTCAGTCCCGCCCATAGCGGCGGCGCCGTCTCCAACCCCGGTCCTTAGAATAGAGCCTCCCCCTACACCACCAGCTGTCCCTGTGTCTGATCAGTGACCGTGCCGTCCCACCCTCAGCGGCGGCCCCGTCCCCGACCCCCGTGCCGCGGATAGAGCCGGAGAAGATCCGACGCTGGCGCGAGGAGCAGAAGGCACGGCTGGAGGAGAAAGGTGTGTGGCTGCAACTGGAAACGCTGAACCTATGGCTGAACGCACCTTCAACTAGCATTTGACGCCCCGTCCGGACAAAGTCACCTGACCGGGTCCGGTTGATGAGTCTGTAATAGAGATTAGCCATCCTAATGCGTGTTCTGTTCATTCGGATTGAATGAATGAACTTGTTTTGAAATGAATCATTGTTTCTTATGATAGAAATTCCGACAGTTGAACGCATAGGAGTGTCTGGTAACAAACCTTTGCCAAATGCCAGGTATATTTTAAGTCTTTGTTGTGACCCTAGGGAATACGTTATGGCTTTCGTTCTCGACGATTATTATTGCATCTTCGCAATAACGCCCATCCTCTCAATATTTAGCATCCGCCGAGCGGTGTTCTTATGGCTGATTTTAATGGTCGACGCCCTTCTGACCTTCCGACCTCGGCTCAGACACTCCTGTCCTTTTGTCATTGGTTTTACAACTCCCCCGATCTCTGTTACGCCCAACCCTCGTTTCTCCTCCTGCTGACCTCTGTTGCCCCATCCCTCCTCAGATGAGGAGGAGGAGCGTAAGAAGGCTGAGTGGCGGGAGGCGGCCAAGAAGGAGCTCGAGGACTGGTACAAGCAGCACGAGGAGTCGGTCTCCAAGACGCGCGCCGCCAACAGGTAACGACCGACGTCAGAGAGCGTGTGTGTTACTTCGCGGCGGGCCCTCGGATAGCGAGCGGCTCTTTATGGTGGGGGGGGGGGGGAGGCAGAGAGATTTAAAGCAGGAAGGAGTAAGGCTTGGTTTTGATATATCATCGCTTGTTGTATTAATATCGTTCGAGTCTCTTGTTGCACTGATTAAAGTGTACTTTTAACGTCTAACTTCGCTTCATTCCTGCGAATTTGAATATTTACTCATCACATCCACGAATTGTTTTCATTTACTGATGGGTATCTTACCTACGTTTTCCGGCGTTTCGATTTGTCTTTTGATTGGCTTTAGCTGTAGAGTGGTGTCTGCCGATATTTTCGGTGGCTGTCTGCCCGTCCACACATTTTTCTCTATATGGGGCTGCGGTCTGCCGCTGTGCGTATGCGCGCGTGTGAGTCGAGCCACCACCACCGGCTTACACATACACGTGTCTGATGTGTTGCGCTTCCTTGCATTGCAACAGAGAGGCGGCCCTGTGAGTGACTACACCGCCCGCGCGGAAAACGGCGCCCCGCATGATATTCCCTCTCCCTCCCTCTCCCGAGGCTGTTGTGGGGGTTCGGTACCAGGAGCACGTGTTTCCCACGCAGGGTGCGGCGAAAGGAAGACGACCAATGATTTATTTTCGAATATGTACTAGCGGACATTCGCGGCTTTTTGGCGATTAGTGGTTGATTTCATAGACGCCTGGGCGAATATCGGCAAAATCCATCAGTTCGCCGTTCAAAATTGAAAAATGCATGCAACGATAGTGCACATCTGTAGCAGAACATACGCTGTGTCGATTAAATTTATTTCAGATGTTGCCTTTTATATGATTTATCTGCACTTCTTCGTTTTGGAGTTGGATTAAATTCACCATTGCAATTTTGGATGTCGCACGTTTGATTAGCTAGTTGCATGATGCACACGTAATCCGTCATCCGACGAGTACATGACAGCTGTATTTAGATCCGCATGCATTTTTGTGAACACTTGGTCATGGGTCATGGGTTTGTAAATCGTTGCACCTCACATGGCTGACTTCTGCCGGGTGTGACCTGCACCAAGTTTCTAGTGGAGTGTTTTTGACTCCAGTCTAGGCGTGGCTCGTCGCGGTGCGCCTTACTGTCTCCCGTGCTTCACCCAAGCTTGATGGCGTGATGATCTTCTGTGTGGATGCTGCCAGCTCTAAGAAGAGCGGCCATTGATCTTGAACGGAGACGGGAGAAGTCATCCATCGTCAATAGCGCTGAACAATTTATGTAAATCGATCAGGGTCCGTGTTTTTGGCGTGATAATGCTTACCTCCGTAACCCAGCCTTACTAAACCGAAAACATTTACACTAACAGCCACCCTAAATATTGATCTGAGGCCTCTTGCACCAAAATCCTCTTGCACCAATGCTTGGATTATTTTGCATCGTATACCCAGTCCAAGTCTCAAATCTAACAATTTGCGTGCAAAATTTAGCAAGCACATGTAGGATTATGTATTGGGTTACTGCAAACAAATTTACCACCTTTATATTAGCTTATTCTGAAATCGGTTTTTCGATTTTACCTAGCTAGGTAGTTTGGTGCAAGAGGCCTCTGATCGTGCCTTTGCTACCTAGCCACTACCATGTCCCTGAACCCTAGCCATGGACCTGAATCTCTCATGGTCCCGGTCTGTGTTTGGGTAAGTCGTAGCGAATCTGTCGCTACCGTGGGCCGACCTGGCCGTTCCGTGTGACCTGACCTGTGTCCGGGTCACGGCAGGGCCGCCGAAAAGGAGCTGGTCAGCGGCGAGGCCAAGTCGACCGAGCGGGCCGCCGACTGGGAACAGATCGCCAAACTGTGCGAGTTCAACCCCAAGGTCAGCCGCAACACCAAGGACACGTCGCGCATGCGCAGTCTGATCCTGCAGCTGAAGCAGAACCCGCCCGTCAAGTCCGGCTGAGCGGCGCGAGCCGGTCGCTGCCGGTGGTCTGGAGAGGTGTCCTTTAAGGGCGCACCGTGTCGCTATACCGGCCAACGACCGGGCCAAAGACAGTCGTGGTATAGCATGGCTCCCTCGTGGCGCCGACATCTACGCCCGGTGTGCCGTGTAGGGTGTACTCCCAGTCTGTGAGTAGGCTATTGCTGTTAGCAAAACGCTTCCCGTGTGCACATCGTGCTATGGCGGTCCGTCGTGTCGTCACTCGGCTCCAAAGCGCATCTCACGTATCGTTGTTATCCTTTGTTCTGAGCTAATTTACGCGGTGACAAACGCTCTATATTATCGTGCACTCGAACCAGAAACAGCCAAGGCGCATACATTCCTTGATTCCATATGTATGGCGAAATATATACGAAACCCATGTTCAGTGACTTTCACAAGTCGGCATCATATCATAGTTGGCATTTCATCAATTACCAAGCTGGCATTTCAGCACAGGTACGAATTCAATATCGTGTCCAACTCCAAGGCGCTTCATACCTGGCTGATACGCATTACGCAACATACAGTCACATGTATTCTCTTACACTATAATAAAACAACAGAAGAGATGTCCATTGTGTCCGGCGCCGCAGCTGGCGGTCGCTCCCGCGGCCCAGTGGCTCAGACAGCACGGCGAGTACCCGGCCAGCCGGCGGCGGCGACCCCCTCCCTGTCCCCGCCTACCCTAAATGCCCTGCTGCTTCTGCATCAGCTGCGCGAACCGGTTAGTGATCACCAACGACACGTCCACGAAGCGGTCCACGCAGTTGGAGAGGCAGTTCTCTTGCCGCGAGTCCAGCTTGCTGGACGGCTTGTCCACGCATCGGTCCCAGCAGACGTCGTTCAGTTTGTGAACCTGCCACGGGCGCGGGTCTGGTGAGCGGAGGTTCAGTCGGGACAGCAGTCCATGGGGTCGGTGAAGACTGACGCAGGCAGAAAATGCAGTGATATGGTTATTTGGGATATATGAGCATTTTCGCTTCGTAGTGACGATATGGGGACGAGCGTTAGGCAGGTCACTCGGGCATTTGGCGTTTGAACGGATGAATGACAATGATAACATCGCTGAAGTTGCAGTACCTACCTGTGCCTGGAACTGTGCCTTCTGTTGCTCCATCATGACAAACTGTTCGAGCTCCTTGTCAGTGCCGCCGGAGCCGGCGGGACCGCCGGGCGGCGCATTGAGCGACGAGCCGGGCGAGTACGAGTCGAACGAGCTTGAGCTCGGCCGGGAGCTGCTGCCAAAGTCCATGGCTGCCAGACAGAGGAGTTCAATAGTCAGTGCTACACTATGTGTTCAAAGATCTATATATAACCAGCGAGCCAAATATACATCCATTTTTTATTGCACCAGTTAAGACATTACTAAAAATATGCAAATCCTTGATTATCAAATAATGTAGCCTGCATTCAAGCTCTGGCTCAGTTGACAAAATAACAATATAAGTATTGCACATGCAATACTTATATTGTACTGTGCGCATGCCTTTTGTCATAAATATCCATAATACCTCTTGCCTTCAGCTTTTGGCAGCAACTGGTGATGATTTCCTAACCAAATCAAGTTCAAAGGTAAAACATAAAGGAAAGTACATCATTTTCCATAAGCGAACTACACAGACGCATGAGCAATACACAATGTGCAGAGAGGGATGGTAACTGGCAGTTTCATTGGTTGCTTCCAGCTGTATATCATCTTGTCATAAAATAGCATAAATATTCAGTTGTCATGCTTTACAGCATAAAAGTGTTATCTTCATTTTCATAACAATACTCTTGCTTTGCAAAAGAAAACAATATTCAGAGATTCTGGAAAGCACTCATAATTTAGAGCCAGGGGACAGGAACTGGCTACACTGGAAATTCAAGCATCCAAGTCAAAGTAGTTGGGCTATCAGTAGGTATACCTATTACCTACTATACTGCAACAAACTGAAATGAGTGTTGAGCAATGAGCAGTCAAGTGATCAAATTGAAATGCTTCCTCCAGCAAAGACAGAAAAGACATAGGTATTCATTATCTTCCAGATTTTGGCAGGTGGAGTCTCTGGCCAGGCCAGTTTTTGGTTTCAAGATGGCAGCCTCGTTTTCACTAGAGGCCATGGTTTGAAGCTGCTGAAACCTCAGCCTGCTTCAGGACCCACAACAAGAGAAACTATCAGTAAGCACCATCAAATATTGATATCAATGACTGCAGAAAGCACTTACTGCACTGGGTTCTGTTGTCCTCTTTACCTCCATCAATCTGTTCAAAGCCCATTTCAAATCTCACCGGGAATATGCATCCTTTCCTACCATCCTTACCTTACCTTACCTTACCTTACGGTATACGGGTTGTGGGAGGCCAATTTGGCCTGTGGGGCCCGGTCTCAGCGAGCTCCCAGTGCTTATCGACAGTCAGCCTCAGGTTGGGTAAGATCGGGTTCAGGTGGAAAGGCTTTGCATGATGTCAGCCCAGTGGGCATCCAGCCTGGTCTTGAATTGGTTGACTGACGTAGCTGATACGACCGCTTGTGGGAGAGCATTCCATGGGTTAATAACACGTGTACTAAAAGAGTGTCTTCGGATGAACGTCGTGGCCCGCGGTTTCACTAGTTTCCACTCATGGCCTCTTGTTCTTCCTGAAGTTGAGCTGGTGAGCAGCTTCTCGGTGGGGACCGCCATGCCACCATGCAGAATCTGATAGACGGCTATCATATCACCCCCCGACTGAAAAAAATGCACGCTTTCGTCGAGAACTCGAGCGTAGTTGGGCGTTTGCGCCGAAAATTTTCGGCGTACTTCGGCGTAAATCGACGGCTTGCGCCGAAATTTTCGGCGTACTTCGGCGTAAGTCGCGAAAAAACCGTCAGGGGGTGGCACCAACCCCCCTCGGCCGGCGAGGATTAAATGTCTTCGGGAGTTAAACATCTTAAATATCACTTATCTTGTCTCGTGTTCGTCTCAGGGTATTTAAGTCATGTTCAGTGAACCTGATTGTGACTCTCCCACGGCGGGAACAGTTCACCGGTCGAGAGTGAGGTTATGGATTGTCGGATTCCCTAGTTCAGATAACGTATGCTATCGTGTGCGTATTGACCGTTGTGATTCCTGTATTTCTGGCGTGTGGTTTGCGAGCGGACGCTGGCAATCGGTCCCGCGTGGCCTGGTATCTGCCCGATCCCATCGGCCGTGCTTGCACCACGCCTGTTGAAGGCCCCGTCAGGCGTCAGTCACCGGTTGGGCACTACTGCTGATCAGAGCCGGGCAACAAAATAAAGGTTACATTATGGAACATGCCAGTGAGTTTGTGAGTCAGGAGATTTTGTGATAGCGAACGCTGGTGCTCGGTCCCGCATGGCCTGCTGATGGGTATATGTCAAGTTTAGGTCCTAACTACAATCGTGGCGCTTTTGATACAAATATGAAACAGCAAAAATTTTAGGTTTTAGGTTAGGTTAGGTTGTAGGTTTGTAGGTTTTAGGTTGTAGGTAGGTAGGTTTGTAGGTTAGGTTAGGTTAGGTTAGGTTTGTAGGTTGTAGGTTATAGGTAAGTAGGTAAGGTTAGGTCAGGTTTGATTATGTTTTTTTTTTCTTTTATTTGCGAGACATATGAGTATCATTTTTGGATTCAGGATGTCAAATAATGTATAAATGTGAAAAATTTATCAATGAAATCTTCTTAGGACTTAAACTTGACATTTACCTGCTGATGTCTATTGTCTGCCCGATCCCGTCGACCGTGCCAACAACCGTCTGTAGACAGTAGTCACTGGAAGACAGCCACACACACACGCCAGCCCCCCCTCGACGAAAAGTGCGTGGCTACAGCCTGCAGCCATCAGTAAGCCTTGAAAATTTTCGGCGCATGAAGCATGGCTTGGTAAAATAATTTCGGCGCATAAACCCTTGCGCCGAAATTTCGGCGCATCACCTCCGCCGAGAACTTCAGCGTAGTGGAGGCATTTTTTCCAGTCGGGTATCACCCCGTTAACGTCTGTAGTATAAGGGAGCTTCAGCACGTGCAACCTCTCTGGATACGACAGGTGTCGGACAGTTTGTACCAGGCGAGTAGCTCTTCGTTGCACCCGCTCAACCTTCTTCTGATCCAGCTTACTAAACGGTCCCCATACGAGGTTCCCATACTCCAACAGCGGTCTCACCAGTGTCTTGAATAGTAATGGGAGGGTGTTTGAGTCCTAATCCCATTATCATTAACTGATCCAGGATATTTGATAGGGTGCCCAGTCAATGGACTGGAGCTTGCTGACTGCTGAGATCTGAAGTGCAGGGTACTTCCAAGCTAAATTTGAATGGCTAGATGCTTACCTTGTCCTTGACCCACCTGATATTTTTGTTGCCGCTGCTGAATTTTCGCTTTACTACGGTAATATGTCAACTTTTATAAGGCATAGGTATAATGGGCCACCCAAGGCCATCTATAGGGCTGTTAAGTGATGACGTCACGGTTCCAACAGCTGACTGCGCTAATGTTGTAGAGATAGGCCAAACGATTCATAACTAAAATGCAAGAATTTGGGGACGTTTACCGATGTTATGTCATGTTTCAATAATGGAAATGGTATTAAGCTGTCATTTTGGTCGACTTAAATGCATTTATATTCATTGATTTGCACAAAAAACATGATTTTTTTTGCACGGCTGCTAAATTAAAAAAACTTGTGCGATTTTGGCGCAGAATAGACATTGCGCCATTACCTTTATAACACGGGCACCAATGGGCAAATGTACTAGCTGTGAATAGGTAGTGAATTGGAGTGGGTTATTAATTAGATATACTGTGTTTCTCAGACCTCAGGTCAGCTATCACAAGACGCACGCTTGTTTTAAGCTTTGAACATCGAGATGGTTTCGGCGAGATGGCATCTCGGTTTACCAGGTGCTTCGACGGGGAGTGGATGTTGACCCATCTCAGTTCTTCACTGCGGCGACGACGACCAGAACTCGAGGGCATGAGTGGAAGCTGTCCAAGCCAAGGGCTGTCTCCAGAGTGCGGCGGAACGCCTTCAGCATACGAGTCCTGAACGACTGGAACTCTCTGCCATCCGCTGTCGTCGATGCGCCCTCAGTCAATAGCTTCAAGGCCAGGCTTGACGAACACTGGGCTCACGCCAAGTACACCATACATTCCAACGACTGATGCAGTGACACACTGACACAAAGCTCGTCACGTCCGGATCCAAGAGGCCAAAAGGCCTTCCTAAATTCCGCATTTTATAAGTATAAGTATAAGTATAAGTATGGTGAATTGCTGTGTCCCAGGCTGTACGAACCGGTCAGGGGACAAAAACAAATATGCGTTCTACAGGTTTCCCAGCAACAAACTGATCCGTCAACGCTACATTCGTGCGATAAGGTTAGTAAGAATTTTGAGAATCAGCATATTTTACACGTCAAGCTTTCATAAATCCCATCATAAATCTTTTCCATAAATCATGCAAGGGAAATATGGCATCTTACCTTTTAATAAAAACATCAAATTATTGTTAGCTATTTCTATAAAAGCTATAAAAGTGTATATAATATCAGATAATAATAAATATTTATTTTTGGGCATCATTACGGAATGATTCACAAGGTTAACTCGGAGCCTTGATCGTCAATCACTTGTGCATGGTGCATAGGTACTCAATAAATAGCAGTAACAGTAGTCATAGCACAAATATATTTACCAAGTCTGTTGTATGTTTTGGATATGAACATTGAAACATTTACATTTTGTAACATTCAAATTGAAAATTATTAATAAACTGACAAGCTTCATTTCAGAAACAATCGCACGAACCTGTTTTTGTGGATATTTTCTACTTGAAGGGCTTGTAACTTGCGTCATCCTAATCATGCATGCCTAATCTAAATCATCATGTAATCCCTTTTTTCTGTTGCAGGAGGGAGAACTTCACCCCTACTGAACACACAAGGATCTGTTCGTGGCACTTCCCTAATGGCAAAAAAGCAGGTCCAGTGAGGTTTCCATGGAATGAAGGGAAGCGGATCAACTTGCCTGATGATACCAGACCCCATCACTCTTCTCCTGGAAACAGAAGACAAGATGCAGCTGTGGAAATGGAAGATGCTGTCCTTGGACCACCTGTGCATAGTGAGGCCATGTTGTCTGCCGAGAACGACCTTCTCAAACAGCATATCAAACGACTTGAAACTGCAGCAGCTTATCAGCAGCAGAGGTTCTGCTACAACCAGATTAGCCATAGCGAACAGCTAGTAACTTACTATACTAGTTTGAGCAGAGCAATGTTTGAAACCCTAGTCACATATGTGAGCATGTGTGATTTTACATACCACACCTTCAAGGTCACAACGATGACATTAGAGGACCAAATTCTCCTGGTGTTGATGAAACTGCGACACAACTTTGGGCACACAGATCTAAGCGTGAGATTTAACAAGAGTGTAGCCACCGTTACAAATGTCTTCAGGACATTTGTGTCCATCTTCGCTGAGGCTCTGTTCAAGCCTATTTTTGGGAAGGGTATGCCTAGTAGAGAAAAGAATTCTCAATCTATGCCAGCATCGTTCAGGAAGTTCAGGCACTGCAGGACGACACTTGATTGCACAGAAATTAGGATTCAGCGACCTGATAGCTGTGAGGGCCGCTCAAGCACCTACAGTGCTTACAAAGCTGCCAACACCTTCAAGGTCATGGTTGGGGTGGCACCCAATGGCACTGTGAACTTTGTCAGTGACGTTTACGGCGGCAATGCCTCTGACAAGCACATCGTGGAGACTAGCGGCCTGTTGGAGCAGCTAACCACAGGCGACCTCATCCTGGCTGACAAAGGTTTTCCTATCAAGGACATTGTACCTGATGGCGTCACCGTCAACACACCTGCGTATCTATTTCAGCCTCAGTTCACCAAGCAAGAGGTGATGCACAACAGGGAAGTTGCCGAAGCCCGCGTGCACGTTGAGCGCGCGATTCAGCGGCTGAAGTATTACACCATTTTAGATGGCATACCCCACCAGTATAGGAATATGATAGACAATATAGTTCGTGTCTGTGCCTTCCTCACCACCGCCCAGAGCCCTATCATAAGCCACGAGAAACTTAGCAACATGTCCTCTTAAGCCGGGTAGCAAACTGCGCGTTATTAGTGGTGTCACCCTGTTAGATGCAACGTTTGCGTAGTTATCAATTGAAGTAAGTCAATAGCATTGTCTGTGTTTTTCTCACCAACGTCCGGAGTACTATCGCGGGAAACTGTGCATTTTGTCCTAAACTGGTTTGCGAACTGTTTGATATGTGTAGTCTGTGTCTTAGTCATTGCGTGGTTCGAGCGATGATGGTGCGCGTCGTATTGCGAGCCAGGGTCTTATGGCGACGGTGAGTCGGCGGAGGGAGAAATTGATCAGCCTTTGTCTAGGGTTCAGAATGACGTGATATGACGTGATATGACGTGTACAGAGGTATGATCTAGGCTAATGTGGTGAAGCCGGGCAGTGCGCTCCGGGACACGAGCGGGTACGGGTGTGAATAGAGGCATCTGAGTGTACTGGACTTTTTGCATTACTACAAGCTATTTCGGCAACCATGTCACAGGAAAGCGCTGTGGCAAGTTCGGCGCTGGACATGCGGCTAATCCCCGAGTTCGATGGCGGTAACGCCTCTGTGGAAGAGTGGCTGGATAAGACGGAGCTCGTCTGTCAGCTGCGCGGAGTGTCCGACATTCAAACCGTCGTCCCCCTGCGGTTGACCGGCGGAGCCTTCAGCGTCTACCAGCAGCTGAAGCCCGAGGAGAAGCTGCAGTACTCTGCCGTCAAAGCTGCCCTGCTGCGGGCGTTCGCTGTGGATAAGTTCCAGGCGTACGAGGAGTTCACGGCGAGAAGACTTCGTGTCGGCGAGAGCGTCGACGTCTACCTGGCAGACCTGCGGCGGCTGGCCTCCCTGTTCGGCGGGCTCGGCGACACGGCGCTGATGTGCGGCTTCGTGGCCGGTCTCCCGGATGCGGCGAGGCATACCTTGAGGGCCGGCTGCCGCATGGAGAGCCTGACGCTGGCCGAGCTGGTGGAGCGGGCTCGGGCGCTGATGGCAGAGAATGCCGTCGCTGCAGCCGCTGCCGCCGCTGCGCCGGCCCGTTCCCGCCACACGCCGGCGTCATCACGGTGTTACCGCTGCGGTCGAGCCGGTCACTTCGCTCGTGACTGCCGGGCGGAGAGGAGAGCGGACATCATCTGTTTCCGGTGCGAGCAGCCAGGACACGCCGCGGCACGCTGCCCGGAACGGATGCCGGGAAACGCGTCAGGAGAGGCGGTGTCTGCGCCAACCTCCTCTCGGGCAGCCCAAGAGTAAGAGGCGCGCTACCGACGGTGCAGCTGCTGGTGAATGGGCAGCGCAGAGTGGCTGTTATCGACTCGGGCTGCAGCTGCACCATCATCCACGAGTCGTGCTGCGCGAGCTGGAGACGGTGCGGCGTGACTGTAATGGCCGTCAACGGGTCCCGGCTGCCAAGCAGCGGAGTAACGGAGGTGGCGGTTCAGCTGAAGAGCGGCGGGCCCGCGGTGACGCTCAGCGCCGTGGTAGTGCCGGACAAACCACTGGGCGTGGATATGCTGGTGGGGATGACCGGCATCGCGGCGCTGGGCGGGGTGACAGTGCGGGCGGCGGACGATGTGGTGTTCGGTGCCAGCGAGAGGCCCGACGTGGCCGTGCCGGGCCCGGGAGGGGTGCCGCCGCGATGCAGCGCCGTGACGCCCCCGGCGTTGACCGTGGAAGAGCGAGACTTCACGGTCACTTATGACGCGAAAAGTCAACACTGGACGGTGGCGTGGAAGTGGCGGAACGGGGCGGAGCCAGGGTGCCTGAGGAACGGTGTCCCCCAGTACGGCGTGCCGGCCGAGGCACGGCAGGAGTTTGATGCTGAACTCCGTACATGGATCGACAACGGCTGGCTGGAGCCGTACGACGAGACGGTGGACGGGCCGCCGCGCGGGCTGATCCCTCTCATGGCTGTTGAACAGCAGAACAAGACTAAAGTACGACCAGTCTTAGACTGCCGCGAGCTCAACAGCCATGTGGAGGCACACACGGCCGACGCTGACGTATGTGCCGACACGCTGAGGAAATGGCGGCGGCACGGGGCCAACGTCGCCGTCGTCGACCTGAAGAGGGCGTACTTGCAGCTCAGGACCGATCGTCGGCTGTGGCCGTTTCAGACAGTCGTGATTGATGGCCAAAGGTACGCTCTTACCCGTGTCGGATTCGGGCTCAACGTCGCGCCTCTCATCATGAAGGCGGTGGTGCGGACGGTGCTGCAACAGGACCCAGTGATGCAGGGCGCCGTCATACCGTACGTCGACGATCTGTGCGTCAATGAGGACGTGGTGAGCGCGGAGCGCGTGATCGCCCACTTCGCGAGCTATGGGCTCCAGTGTAAGCCGCCGGAGCGGGCTGCGGACGGAGCGCGGCTGCTGGGACTGCGTGTGGAGCCAGTCGGGGGTGGGCTGGCCTGGAGGCGTGACAACCCAGTCGGCTCACCGCCCGCGGCAATGACGCGGCGCTCCGTGTTTTCATGGTGTGGTCGTATCGTGGCGCACCTGCCGGTCTGCGGTTGGCTGAGACCAGCGACAGCGTGGCTGAAGCGTCGTGTCAACTCTCTCACACGCGGGTGGGATGACGTCACACACGACGCGGCCCTGCGGGAACAGCTGAAGCACGTGGCTGAGCGACTGGCGAGCGAGGACCCGGCCCGTGGGCAGTGGTGCGTGACTGGGCACCGCGCCGTACTGTGGACGGACGCCAGCTCGATAGCCGCCGGCGTCGTGCTGGAGAGCGAGGGAGGTGACGTCATCGAGGACGCGTGCTGGCTCCGCCGGGACGAGGCCACCCACATCAACATGGCGGAGCTCGACGCCGCCGTGCGGGGCATCAACCTGGCCCTGGCGTGGGACATGAAGACCATCGAGCTGAAGACGGACTCCGCCACTGTTCACCGGTGGGTCAGCGACGCTCTGAGCGGGCGCGCGAGACTGCGAACCAAGGCACATGGAGAGATGCTTATCCGCCGGCGGGTCGACGTCATCAGGCAGCTGGTCGCAGAGCTGGGCATTTCTCTCACCGTGTCTCTAGTCCGCTCGTCTCAGAACCGTTCGGACACGCTGACCCGAGTGCCGTCCCTGTGGTTGCGTCAGGACTCGCAGCCAGCGGACCAGCGGCCGAGCGATGGACAGCCAGTGGCAGCAGCGGCAGTGGTTGGATCGGAAGTGGGAGACGGCGGCGGCGCCGTTACCGTGGACTTCCGACAGGCCGTCACTGACGTACATGTCAGGGCGGGTCACCCGGGTGTCCGACGAACGCTGTATTTCGCGCGTCGGGATGTGTCATCGTCGATTTCCCGGAAAGTGGTCAGGGAAGTGGTGACGGCCTGTGACGTCTGCCGCGCGGTTGACCCGGCGCCGGTGACCTGGAGGCACGGGTCGCTGGCTGTGGAGGGGACGTGGGACCGGCTGGCCATCGATGTCACGCACTACGGTGGTCAGTCCTACTTGTCGGTGATAGACTGTGGCCCGTCACGGTTTTGTGTGTGGAGGCTGCTGCGGCGGTCGGACGCGGCGACAGTCACGAGTGAACTCGAACAAGTGTTCGCGGAGCGAGGCGCACCGGCTGAGCTTCTGGCGGACAACGACACCGCTTTCCGCAGTCGTCAGTTCGCCGCTTTCGCTGCCCGCTGGGGAGTGCTGCTGCGTTTCCGCGCAGTGCATCGCCCCAGCGGGAACTCCATCGTGGAGCGGAACCACCGCAGTGTCAAAGTGATCGCGGCGCGGAAGAAGTGTGGCATCGGAGAGGCCGTGCACCTGTACAATATCACGCCCCGTGACGGCGGGACGGCGGCTGAGGCGCCCGCCAACGGCATCTACCGCTACCCTGTGAGGGACGCCGTGAGACAAAGAGCTACCGCCGGAGCGTCCGAGGAGGCCGTGATAGGACGGCCGCCAGCCCGGCGGGAGGGCGACTTCCAGGTGGGGGACGCCGTGTGGGTGAGGCGGCCGGGCACCCGCTGCACCGAGCGGTCGGTTCGAGGAACGGTGTCTGGCGTGGTGTCGCCGCAGGTGGTTGAAGTGGGCGGCGTGCCTTGGCACATCAGAGACCTCCGCCACTGCGGTGACACCGGGGGACCAGCAGCAGGCCCTCGGACCCCCGACCGGGGCAGCGGGGGCCCACAGGAAGCGGAGGAGGACCGTGCCGGGTCCCCGATCGTCATGACATTCGGTTATGAGGGCGATGGCGCGCCGGGGCGCCCGGTGGAGGAGGCTGATGATGCGGGTGGTGAATGCGGCCGGTCTGAGAGCGACAGCGGCGAAAGGGTGGTGCGCCGAGGTCAGCGTAATCGGCGGCCGCCTGACTTCTTCGGCCACGTGGTGCCGATTGATGCGTTAAACAGCAGCAGCGGAAGTGATGATCTTGAGGATCAGGGTGAGGTGTAGTCTGTGTCTTAGTCATTGCGTGGTTCGAGCGATGATGGTGCGCGTCGTATTGCGAGCCAGGGTCTTATGGCGACGGTGAGTCGGCGGAGGGAGAAATTGATCAGCCTTTGTCTAGGGTTCAGAATGACGTGATATGACGTGATATGACGTGTACAGAGGTATGATCTAGGCTAATGTGGTGAAGCCGGGCAGTGCGCTCCGGGACACGAGCGGGTACGGGTGTGAATAGAGGCATCTGAGTGTACTGGACTTTTTGCATTACTACAATATGTTAATGTCTTCACTGTCTGATGAAACACTTCTTGAGTTATAGCTGTCATGGAAGTATGATAATCTGGAAATTGTTTCAGCTGTGCGCTGTGGTACGCGACATTTACTTGTCAATAAAACTGTCCACAAACATGTATGTTTATTATTTGCATTATTTACACACAGTTTGACGTTTGAAAGTGAAACACGACAACCAGCCTGGCGCGCACCTGTACAGTGACACACATTTACTTACGCACCTGAACATTACACACAGTTTGACGTTTGAAAGTGAAACACGACAACCAGCCTGGTGCGCACCTGTACAGTGACACACATTACATCACAGTGGCAAATCTCATATCGCCCAGCAGGCATGAGCCCTGCAGGTTAAGCGGACCCGATGATGCTCGGCACCATGTGGACCCTATAGAACTGTTTTAGGAGTTCTAGGTTTACAGTCCATGAAACGCTTCTGGCGATGGTAACGATGTGTAAGTCACGAGTCGTCCAGACAACAAAGTCACACTTGGTGAAGCCACTTAACCACATCTGGCCCTGTACCTGGTGGAAGTAATCGTGATCTTCTTTAAGATTCAGGTTTTCGTCCAAGAAAAACTTTCCATCTGCTTGCACAGCTTCCTGGATCGTTCGACACCTGTGTGTCCACGGACACTTCACCTCTAGGAGTGTATCCCCCACTACACCATCTGGAGAGGCCCCAAGCATACCATCTTCAGAGAGAAAAATCCCATTCTCTTCCACCTTTTTTCCAGTGCGATTTTCATACGCTCGCTTTGCAGCTGCTTCGTGGGTTCGTCCCCATTTTACAGCTGCACTGCCGGATGGGTCATAGCCACCAAGGAGCCTTTTGAATAGTGACTTTGGGTATCTTCCTCTGGCAATTGCCTTCAAGACGAGGCCGAAGTTGCTCGATGTCAGCCTTCCCTTTCTAGCAACAAACCACTTGGGGTTTTTGACCTGACCACTGGTCACCCTCTGCACCTCTGCAATCTCTTCCTTTGAAAGAGACAGCATTGCTAAAAGGAAGTGGGACTTGTCAGCTGATGCATGAAACTCAGCACTAGTTAGGATGCTGTCGATGTTTGGTACCTTCTCTTCTGGGGAAGGCTGAGACTCTGGAGCCAACAGCCATGCCAGCCCACATGGCTGCTCCCTCACCTGGTCATACAGCCATGCCAGTTGGTCCTCTTTGACAGAGCTCACCAGCAAAGAACTGTCTTCCTGGGGGAACATCTCCTTTGCTTTCAACATTGTCGCGTTGCTGGATCCTCGGTTCCATTGACACTGCCGATCAGTCTGCGACCAGTTCTTCTGTGCATACAGAAGGATGGCAGCCATGTGGGAGCACCGATGCTGACCATTTGGGCATGTGCAGCTTCCATCCACTGGCTTCTTGTTCTCGACAGTGACCTGAAACACAGATTAACAACAATTTACACCTTTGCAGCAGGTAATCAGCAAGCCTTATTCAGATTTTTATTAAATAACTGCATGATATTTTTCTAACACATTAGTTCAAACCATATTCAATTAATATCAAAGTGGACGTTTCACTCAAGTGAAATGTTGATCATGAAAATAAGTTCACAAAAATGAGCACAATTGATTGCAGCTGTTTATATTCATAGAGCCTCATAGAATGCTTTGATAAAAGTAAACACAAATAACTGAAATTTGAAAGCAAATTTCTTTGAGTGATCTTGAATGAAGTGAGACTGAAGATTAGATACATCGCCTAAACCAAATTGCCATTTCCATTTCAACTTATAAAACCCTCCTATCCATTTAATTCCACTAAATGTACATGGTTGCACAGGATGCCACACAAGTCTGCCGCACACTTGCTAAGTAGATCAATTGATCTATCATTTTACTATACACTTAAATTTAAAACCAAGCTAACATCAACTACACTCCGGGCTGGAGGAGGTCAGGTCCTCCACAAACTGAAGGTGGTAGGTTCAAGGTTGTGGGTTGTAGGAAGTAGATTGTAGGTCAACTTACGTATCTTTGGTTAGGTGTTTTGATTTGGTTAGCAAAATGCATTCTGGGGCATATGGCAGCTCGTGCTACGTCTGCTACCGTGGCATCTCAATTTTCCTATTCAGCTTTTGCTAAGGTAAGATAATGCAAGATGCCTGTCACATGGGGATAATATAAAGAACTATGGAGTATGTAGACTCGAATGAAAATATATAATGAAATGTTTCTGTAATTATTACCTCTGGTCATGTTCACTCGGTACTTTTGCCACATTCACCTCATTCTCAATTGCAATTGCAATTTTGTTCCCACATTCATGCCACGATTTCATGAAGGCAGATTTCATAAAGTACCTACTTGAAATGCCTATCACAAGCATGAAGAAATACTCACTTGAACATCATAGGTCCTTTTCTTCATGCTGGCCTCAACAGAAGCCACAATGTATTTGCCATCCTGCAGGGCAATGGATCGGATTTTGCCACCATCCAATGCTCTTTCACCCTTCTCAATCACACTGGACATAGTTTGAAAAAAATCACCTATGGCTGCAACACTAACGAAGGCCATGATAGCTCATACCATGCCCAAACACGTCAAACACAGCCTGCAGCCCAGAAACGTGCAAATGTCCGTAACGTAATATTGTTTTCACGTGGTTTTCACCAAATGTCACATATGCGCCACAAATGCTGACACCATTGTGAATTTAGTAGCCTCACACTTCTTTGGGCTTTTTCAGCCAAATTTCGATGAAACTTGAAGCAAATCAATTTCAGAAATGTTACTCATCCATCTAAGTTTCCAAAGAAATTCCAAATCAGGGTCGGACAATTTTTGAATCGCCACAATACACCTTTCTAGATAATCCCCTATCTCTACAGCATTAGCGCAGTCAGCTGTTGGAACCGTGACGTCACACTTAACAGCTCAATGCAAGCCACGTTTTCCATGATGAGTGAACGCTGTTCAAGAGCCGAAAATCTTCAATTTTGCTACAAATGTCAGCTTGTTGCCTAGCAATTTGCTTTAAAAGAAGCAGGTTGCGTGGCAACGAGTGCTTCTTGTCTACACGAGCAGAAACATCGAACACAATACCACATAGATTTCATATCAGCTGCGTCATTTTTGAAGTTCACCTTTACTGCGATATTTTAAAGGAGAGATCGGGGAGATAAGGGGAAAATATTTTCACGTAAAGCAGCTCCGTCAGTTTTTCATAGTTTTGATTGAACTAAATACAATTTTAAATGAACGCAACATTATCAGCCTAAAAAATACCTTAATGCCTTTTGTTTTAATTAAGTTTTTTTGCTTTCAAATAAACTCGTTTTTTGTCAAATTAACACTCAATGAAGAGATTCCGTCATAAGAGTAGAGTAATCCTGCTTCCAAATATGAATTATTTTTGGAAGTGAGTTTTGAAAAATGAGTTTCTCGAGTTTTGTGAGCAATTGCCTACCTGTTTATTTTATTGTTCACATATACATGGCTTTTTACCGCAATGCTACAATCAAAGTTTGACGCTCTATGAAGTTCACCAATCTTGTCCCATGTGCTTTTGTCCCACAATTCACTTTCCACAGGCTGAGGCCAGTAAATCTCAAATCACAATACAAATCAGCAAAATCCATCCTTACATCTTCAAAGTTTGCCTCCAATTTTTGCATTTTGATTTGCTTCCCCTGAATCCCCAATAACCCCATGCCCTACGTAGGCGGCAGAACGGGGAGGGCACCGGGGCACCGTGCCCCCCTTTGATTTTGGCATCTTAACATTAGCCCTATGGGTGTTGCATGGAGAGAATGGGACCAAAAGTCGACAGTGCCCTCCTTTATTGAAGGTGTTCTGCCGCTACTAGTACTGATGCCCTATATGGATATATGAGGTATGATCATCAGGCCTTAGCAGGGATTATTGTGATGTCACTGCCAGTGACTTTGATTCTTGGTTACGAAGTGTTGACTCAGACTGGCTCATGGCTGAACTGCAATCATGTTGAAAAGGACTGAACTGCAGGGCTCTCAGTCATTTCCCGGGCTCTCCTTTTTCAAGTAAGCTGTAAGCTAACACATTCAAATCTGATATGAAATTTATATCAAATACTACTGCAGGCTAGACAAGTTTGGTGAATGATTACATGCACCAGTGCACTATTTCTGCTGCTTTTGCTGCAGTTTGGCTCTTAGAAATGTTTAGTTATTGCACATGCATTTTTGAGCTGGAAAGCACCAGTCAGATTATTTTTGAGGTGCTACCCAATCAGCTCACTGCATTTCCATCATGCCTCTTTGAATTGCTTGAACCATACAGAATTTGAATGGTTGAGTCATGGAAATGTTGAGGTTTTAGTGTCAATGAGCACATATCTACAGTTGACTTCACAGCACCATCAGATATATGGTAGCCATTTCATGTGATTCTATCCCTGGTCCCCTTTTTAGATTGACATGATAACAATGCTTCCATCTGAAGCTGTTGAAGAGTATGACCCATACAAGGAGGAACGCCTTGGTAGAGTGCGAGAAGTTGGTAATCAAGCAGTTTGGAGTCTCTCTACATGCAAGCCAGGTAAGCTGGGTCAGGGATCTACCCTGCTTGTTATTGTAAACTGAATACATTGTGAGTGCGTGCAAGAAGATTTACATGGGTTTGCATGTGCAAACTGAGTGGCCAACTGACTTCTTTTGGCCACCTTTCTCACTGGTCCCTAATGGCACTCTGACTTCAAGTGAGATTGCCCAATTGTTCTTGTTAGTTGTTATCATGGGTTCTGATGACTTCTGCAGTCTCAGAGCCCTAAGTCATTATCATCATTGTTCTTATCTTTGGTAAGAAGGGGCACTTGCAATGTGTACATCTGTAGACCTTGCAGTAAAGCAAATGCCTTGGTTGGCTTCACTGCATTGTGAGCAACATCACAATCTCACATCAACACCTGTGCGAAACCTGCTCGAGCTGGATGACTGCTGTCCGACACAGCAGTTTCGATTCGAACCCCCCCCCCCCCGCCGGACACTGAGCACACCCCGCTCCGCTACGAACGCGCCTTGTTGTTGTTGTTGCTCCTCCTGGGTGACCTCTAGGGTCGCCCGTCAGCCAGCGGCTCCAGATGGCTCCTGAAGCCGCGGACCAAGGCCGCGACTATTTATATACACTGTGGCCGCGACGACGTCGCCGTCGCGCAGCTGTGTAGGCTCCGCGTGTATGTTGCCAAGCAACCGAAGACGGAGACCGGCGAGACTCGGACACCGGAGCAGCACGTGCGCCGGTGTGTCCGCCTCCTCCTTGCACAAATGCACACGATGCAGCGTGCCGCTGGGCAATCCTTCTCAGGGCACCCGGGACACGAGTTCGTCGGAAGGCGGCTGATGCGGTGGAGATACTAGCGGGCCATTCCCCAGTGACCGGCCCTCAGTTGGTGCACATCCACTGCCTCGCTCCTGGTCACGCCGGAGACCGGGCTTGGCATCCGGTCTCCCCAAATTCGCCGGAAGAAAGAGTCCGGCCATTACTTGCGCCATGGCTCTGCAGCTGTCCTGGCCACGGCGCCCGTGATGGTACGGACATCCGCTGGCGCCTCCTGTCCTGTTGGAGGCCGGCTGTTTCTCTCGCCAGCTCATCCGCCTTTTCGTTACCGGGGATGCCGCAATGCGCTGGTTCCCACTGCAGCATCACCTCTTGGTTTCTGGCGGAGATGCTGAGCAGCAGGGCCCAGATCGCCGCGCCCATCAGGGTGGTCTGCGATCCCGCACCTCCGGTCAGCAGGGACAGCGCCGCCTGGGAGTCGGTACATAGGACCTCGGGTCCTTCTGCCGGAGCACCTGACAGGCTACTGACCTCCTCCAGCGCTGCTTTGATAGCGCACAGTTCGACACGGCACGGCGCACTGGAGCACAGGCGTCCTGCGGCGAACCTGATCTTCTTCTTCTTCTTCTGCATCCCGCCGCCAGCCCGCTCAGGGGGGCGGCGGCGCAGGCGGGTCGAGCGGCGGCTCGGTCCGCCCGACACCCTCGATGAAGTCGACGACCCTCGCCGCCGGGCCGCCGAGGACGTCGACCAGGCGAGGGTCGACACCCCAGCGGCGGCGGCGGGCCGCCTCATAGGCCGGACAATCGGTCAGCAGGTGCGTCACGCTGTCGGGCTCCCCGCACGCGGGGCATTCGTCGTTGGCTGCCAGGCCAATCTTGTAGAGCGTGTCGCGCGTCAGCGGTGATGTGCCGGTCCTCAGCTGGGACAGCGTCACCGACCCCCAGCGCGCCAGGGAGTCGTGGCCAGGCGTGGGGTCCGGGTGCGGGTGGGCAGCGGTTGTCCTCCGTCGCGACAGCTCCCGGACATGGCGCGTGACGGCGGCCCGCGCACTCGATAGGTCAATCGGCGCGCTATCTTGGTCGCCCGCCGCGGCCTCGCCAGCCAGGCGGTCGGCGGTCTCGTTGCCGTCCAGCCCGGCATGGCCTGGCACCCACTGGAGCACCGTCTCGGTGCCGTTCTCGGCGAGGGTGTTCAGCAGCCTCCAGACCTCGGCGGCCAGAGCCATGGTCTGGCTAGCTGGGCCGCGGCCGAGTAGTTGAAGCCCAGACCTTGAGTCGGTGAGGAGGCGGACCGACTTGATTGATGCCAGCTCCCCTTCCTCCAGGCCGGCCACAGCCGCGAGCGCCTCGCGCATGGCGGTCAGCTCTGCTCTCAAGCTGGAGCAGACCGCCCCTGCAGGAGCGCGCACGGTTTCTTCATTGTTGTGGTGGTGAAACTGGATCAGCGCGCCTGCGCCGCCCTGTTCCATCCCGCCGCGAGCCGAGCCGTCCGACCAGATAGTAATATCCGGTTGCGGGAGCTCTGCAATGGCTCGCAGGGCAGCTTCCCTGCGGACTGCAGGCGGGTCCGACCGGCGGGTGGCCACGGGCAGGTCTACCCTGAAGGTGGTGCCGCCGCGGTGGCCCAGCCATGGCGGGTCGCAGCTGTAGAACGCCATGGGCTCCACCGGGAGCTCCTCGATTCCTGCCTCCTCGGCGAGCCACTTGCCGACCCTCCTGAGGCACGGTCGGTGAGGGAGTGCTGCAGTCTCGTCTGGTGGCTTGGGCGGTGGTCTTCCCGCGGCGGTGGCGTCGTTGCATGTTCTTTGCCATGCCTTGTAGGCTCGGTGTTGGAGGCGCGGCTGTACCTCCTTTCGGAAGAGGGACTTGCCCGGGTCGCTCGGGGGCAGACGGATTACACGCTGGTACTCCGTGCCTGCCAGCTGTAGGGCCCGAAGCGAGAGTGTCGGGAGGCCAGCCTCGGCCAGGAGGGCGTCCTTCCGGGTCGCACGTAGGCAGCCGGTGATGACGCGGGCGCACTTGTTTTGCTCGGCTTCGAGGCGTCCTCTTACCGACGGGGCGGCGTATGTCCCGAAGACGGCGGCGCCGTAGTCGAATAGGGCCCGGATATAGCCGATGTAGGCCGCTCTGATGGTTCGGCGGTGGCTTCCCCAGGTCTTACCGGCCAGTGCCTGTAGGCATCGCCTCCGTCGAGACATCTTGGCTTTCAGGTCGTCGATGTGGTCCGCGAAGGTGAGTTGGGGGTCAAACTTAATGCCCAGGAAGGTCGGGTTGCGGGAGTAGGGCAGCTCCTCTCCGCGCAGCGTCAGGTGCGGCTTGACCTTCCCTCCGCTCTCTCTTGGGTCGAGAGTGAACAGGGTGGCGGTGCACTTCGTCACGCTGGGCATGACTTTCCAGCGTCGCAGCCACGTGTCCACCGCGTCCAGGCAGGGCTGGAGGAGGGCGTCGCACTCTCTGGCAGTGGGGGCGCATGCCAGCAGCGCCACGTCGTCCGCGAACAGGGACCGCGAGACGTGCTCCGGCATTGCTACGTCGATGTCATTGACGTAGACCAGCCATAGGAGCGGCGCCAGCACGCTGCCCTGGGGGAGGCCCTCCTGGAAGACCCTGAGGTCTGAGCGGGCAGCGCCCCAGCGGACACGGGCGCGCCTGTCCGACAGGAAGGCCCTCAGCCACTTGATGAAGCAGCCGGGGACTCCCAGCCGAGCCATCTTGCAGAGCAGGGCGGCCCTCCAGACTCGGTCTTAGGCTCTCGCGAAGTCCAGCAGTACCATGACCGCCCGGTGAGGTTTCTTCTCCTCGAACGCGTCGAATATCTGTTGGGATATTCGGCCGAGCTGGTCCATGGTGGAGCGACCTCTGCGGAAACCGGCTTGGTTGGGGTTGAGCTTCCCTCTCGTCTCGAGCCAGTGCTGCAGCCGGGCCTGGATCATCCGCTCTGCGAGCTTGCTTGTGGTGGAGAGCAGGCTGATCGGGCGATAACTGGACAGCTCTGACGGCGGCTTGCCTTTCTTGGGGATGGCTACGATTTCTGCTGTTCTCCAGCTGGCCGGGACGTCCGCTGCTGTCCAGGACTTGTTGATCAGGGCCAGGAGGAGAGTCTTGCCTGTTGGGCTTATCTGCTTCAGCAGCTCGTTGGGTACGCCGTCCGGTCCCGGGCTCTTCCCGTTCTGGAGCTTGTCCAGGGCTGCGTCGAGTTCGGCGGGTGTGAATGGCGCGCACGGTCCACTGCGTTGGGCGTCGCATGCGCAGGCACTCACTGCAGCGCGCGCCTCCAGCTTGATGTCGCGATCCTCTTGTTTGTTGTGTGGGATCCGGGATACTGCCGCATATGCCTGGCATAGGGCGTTGGCCTTCTCCCTATCTGTCACTGCTGGTCGAGCTGGGCGGCCAGGTGGGCCAGCGCGGTTGAGGGGCTCTGCTGGTTTCGCCGGTGGTTTGCGTCCGTCCAGGGTGCGGATGAGGCTCCAGAGGTCGGTGTTGGGCCCCAGTTCCGCGATGCGCTTGCGCAGGAAACTTGTCTTTTCCTCGCGCAGGACCGTGTCCGCGTTCTTCCTTGCTTGTTGGTATTCCCGGACGTCTTCGGCGGTATGGTTTGGCGCGGCCACCTTAGCGCGAGCTTCTTTCCTGATCGCGATTGCTTCGTCGCACGCCTCGCTCCAGAACGGCTCCCTGGTCCTGAACGGCGAACCTGATCTCCCTGGCCTCCCCATTCCTGAGTATGAGGAGGGCGCCGCCGCCGCCGCTCATCGTGCCGCCCTCCGCCGAGCCATCGTTCCAGATCCAGGTAGCGGCTTCTGGGAAGGTGGCGAGGTAGATCTCGGCGGTCTGGCGACGAATCGCGGCGGGGGCGTCCTGGCGGGCTGCCCCGCTCATGTTCGGGGATATCCTGGGTGGTGTTTCACCGGTGATAGCATCACGCTGCTATGCGCTGACGTCACACTTGTGGTAGTGTTGGAGCAATGGGCTTGTTGACGTCTCCATGGAAACCCAATTTGACACGTGTGATAGCAGCGTGCTGCTATCACCGGTGAAACACCACCCTGATTGCACCCGGGTCAGACCACGAGGGGAGTATCACTTGCAGGCGCTCCTCCACCGTCACATCCTCCAGGTGGCAGGCTCGGAGGGCCTCTCTCCCTAGGCGTCTCCACCCAGTGGTCGACTTCAGTCGGCGAGGGGGGTCTTGGTCGGCGATCACTCGCAGCGGGTCCTCTTCAGGTAGCGATCTCGCCAGAGGGTCCCGGTGGCCAGAGTTCATCGCCTGACCTGAACGGCTGGTAGTCCGGCCTCCGCCATGAGTGGTTGAGCGTGTGCAGCCGGTCACCACCCGAGCCGCCGATCGTAGCTCGCGATCCAGCTGCTCGGCATGTCCGGGGGCGTGGCAGGTAGCCATGCCGATGCCGCATACTCGAGGGCTCCTCTGATGTAGCCGTTGGCCACCGTCCGGAGCTGCTGTTCCTGCAGTCCCCACGACCGGTTCGTCATGGAGCGCAGGTGGGCGATCCGGCGCCCGGACGCGCCTTCGCCTCGGGGCGCCGGCCGCCCACACGCTCCCGGCCGCAGAGATGCAGAGACGCAGAATGGCCCACCGCAACTTCCACTCATATGTGAATTTGGAGCTATCCCAACTGCTATACACAACAGTGTGATGGGTTCCCACTGCCCAATTACCGCGACATGCTCAATGTTTCAGTGCAATGGGCCCAGCTGTTATGAAGTTATTGAAGTGTTGTGGGAGTGTGTCGGACTGGGCGCAAAGAAATCTTGGGTTTGGGCCACACGTACCGAGATTTTCCTCGTAAACAACTGATCGCCTCGTTCTTGCTGACTGGTTTATTTAGTCGAGCAAACTTTTCATTGCATATCGCAGAATTGACTGTGTTGATATACATTATGTCAGTTATGTTAAAGGCAATGCTAACGTTCTTCTCCCTGTATGTGCTGCCGATCAGGTTTTGGCGTTGACCAGCTGAGAGACCTCTCGCTGGAGACTTACTGGCAGTCGGACGGTCCGCAGCCGCATCTAATTAACATCCAGTTCAAACGGAAAACCACCGTTCAACAGGTGTGCATCTATTCCGACTTCAAACAGGATGAGAGCTACACACCAAACAGGTATGCATGTAAAATTTTCACTGCTCAGTCTAATGTTTTAAACATACTAAATTCTACAGAGGATTTCAAATCTATGCTGCTGAGTTTTGTTAAATCTACCCAGCTTGGAAGTAGCCTTCTATCACTAAACAGAAGTCATCGATCATTAATTCCGTCGGAAGCTAATGGGCGGAATAATGGAAGCTAAATCCCCGGTGTTACTCGAAATAGGCTTTCCCTACGCTGATCGGGTCAGCAATCATTTGATCTCACTGAACTTTGCCGGGCTTGGCAAATAAGCAAAAGTACTCATGAAGTCATGAGCCACTTGTGTGGAAAGAACGTATTTCGAGCACATTGGTATTCGTCGTGGCGATCCTGACGACTGGCGAGGAACCGATATCGATCGATGACTGATAATCCGTTTTTGTTCCATCTCAAAATGTTTTGAGAGCTGGCGGGCCCCTAAGTGCTTCGGCTGGCTCGACTCTCCACTCACCTCACTCCAGAACTGAGACTGCCCCCCCCCCCCGTCGGCAGGGTGTCGATCCGCGCGGGCACCAGTTTCCACGACCTGCGTGAGCTGGAGGTGCGCGAGCTCTCCGAGCCGTCCGGCTGGCTGGTGTTTGCGCTGCGCGGCGCTGACGACCGCCCGCTGCGCACCTACCACCTGCAGATCGCCGTCATCACCAACCACCAGAACGGGCGCGACACGCACATGCGCCAGGTGCGCGTGCACGCGCCCGTCGAGCAGCGCGGCGTCACCGTACAGCCGGTGGGCAGCTTCGTCAGCGTCGAGTGCTCCCAGTACGCGTGCCTGAGGTAGCGGAGATGGAGGGCGGTGGGCTGTCCGCGCCCGCTCCGGTGTGGTGAGGTCGGGATTGGACGGCTCGTCCGCTCGTTGTGCTGAATTGCCGGTGAACTAAACTGCTTTACGACTGGTGTCCGGCGCATATTCAGTGTTGTGTACCATTAACTTGCAAACCAGCAATTGATGTAGACTGTTACCGGACCCGGTGCCCAGCTGTGCCCGACTAGTGCTGAATGCTGATGCTTATGGGCACCAAGTGACAGTAATTGTTCATGCTTGCAGCTACATGCCATTTTGTAAGTGTATGTGCACTTTGTAGTGCTTTATGTTCATTTTATTTGTGGTCATAAACATATGTCATGCTCGTAAATTCATAATAATGTCATATGAACTTCTAGTGAGAAGCATCATGGCCTTTGGTGAATGTGAGAAATGACAATATGGAACATTCATGTGTACCTCCTCGCATTGTCATTGAAATGTAAAATAAAATGTCATCGATGCTGTTCAAAATACTATTCAGGTTTTCAATCGTCGCACGCTTTTCACTGGCCACTGGGTGCCAAAATTCACTCGGCTGCCAGTCTACGCCGTATCGGCCGTATCTACCTCTACCTAACAAAGCCTATGATACCGCGATTGCCCCTGTCGGCCGTTCATTCAACTCTGTAACCGCAGGTTATTTCTTCATTAGACAAACACTATTCGTTAGAATTGTGTTTTTCTATTGAAAAACAAGCGGAGCTAGTTCTGGCGTTGGTGAGATCATTGTCACGCACCCCTTAATTATACTGGATTAGTCTGGACCGTGAATAGGAAATAACGACTAACGAGAAGCCTGCCAATACTGAAGCGGCAACCTTATTGGTGCTCGTACTCTTACAAGGGTCATGCATGATGCTATGATGCACATTGCACATCAACAATGTAGGTACGCGGTAGACGGCCTTGCGGAATTCAGAAGCCATGAGCGTAGCCAAGGATAGAAAACGGCCTGGCTTACGACTTATAGTGGTAGACTCGTGTCATTTGGCCCATACCAGGGTATATAGAACAACGGACGGCCCATACTCCATTCTCCCTGCAGTGCAATGTTGGATTCGTTGGATGCAAGACTTGGGCAAAACCCAGCTCAGATCTTCATAGTCACCGTGAGATCTTCCACGATCTCCCGAGAATGAAGCTCGCTGGGGAAGGTAAAGTAGTACTTCTCTTCATTTGGAAGTAATTCGAGTATCAGACGTATACTGCGCTAATGAGACAAACAAATATGTAATAATCTGTTCTATTTTCAAGTTTCATTTAGTTCGAAGTTGAAATGTAGCGCTCTGATTTGTTTAAATCTGTTTATATTTGTTGAAATGTTTAGATTTGTTTGGTTTGAGCCTTGGTTTGAACATAAATGTTTTATATATGCGTATAGCCTTGATTGTGATGTGATCGATTTTGTAATATTGTTGGCGTTTGAAATAGATGAACTATTTTCAAGTAAAATTTACCTTTAAACCCCCATTAGATAAATCTTGTAATGGCTGTAATGTAATGATTGCAATGCATTGCTGGGTTGTGGTACCTACTACCTAGTAAAGCAGACGTTATGGCCTGGCTACACTATGCGTTTTCTGCGTGCGTTTTTTGCGAGTTTGAGTTTGCGTGATTTGCTTAATATCATTCTAGAAAAAAAGTTATTACTAATATAACATCTTAGATATTTATTTAAAAGTTAATAAAACTTTTATATTTATTTACAGTTTATATGAAAAACAACAAAAACGTAATGTCGTTTCTTTCTAGAACGATATTACGCAGATCATGCAAACTCGCTAAAAACGCACGCATAAAACACATAGTGTAGCCAGGCCTTTACACTTGTTTCTTGCAACCAAGGCTATATAAACCATAAGGATATATAAACCTTGCTTGCAACCAAGGAAAGCCACTTTAGGTTCAGTAGGTGGAACTATGGTCATGAGTACCCAAATATAGGAACGTTCCCATTTTTGGGAACGGAGTTCCCAAATATGGGAACGGGCGTTCCCATTTATGAGAACGGAAGGTAATTTTTCGGCCGTTCGCCCACTAAAACTCATTAGTGCATCACGTCTAAAAAAAGTGCACGCTAATTTAAGTATCTACTAAGTCTCTATAAAATTATCTTTAATCTGACCGTTGAACAAGGAAATTGACCGTCGAATGATATTTTTAATGATTTTTTGAAATGACTGAATGGTGAAAACATGGGTTATACTACATTTAACATGCAATTTTAAGGAAAATGAAGCGTTTTTTACATTTTATGGTCAAGTATAATAATTTTCGCCTGGTTATGAAGTTTCATTCTAGCGACACCAGATGCTGACATATGCAAGCGAACACGCGGACAGTCCCGAGGTAATATTGTTGACTTTTGGTGTCGGGGCGCACGACCGCGTGGAACGTCAGTGATTTTACCGAACTACTGTTGTAAACTCAGTTTCAGTGGTTTAAAATTATTCAGTTGTATTTTATCAGCCCGGAAAGACATATTTTATTTGGATGCTAGCTGTTTAGCATTGTTTTATAAGGAGCGTCATGAGCGTGGTTTTTGTCTTCCGTGTTTCTAAGCATGATCGTTTTGGGGGAATTTTTCTTATATAGGTCGCTCTGTGTGGCTTATTTATAATTTTTATGCTGATTTCGATCATTCCTCGTGCCCATCCTACCAGGCCTTTTGCCACTTACACTCATTAAGAAAGGAAAAAACTAGATTGTCATTGGGACTAGGTGTTTTGAGGGTGTAACATATTCAGCGTTCCCATTTTTGGATACTTCCTTGTGCTCGTCAACTATCGGTGATAAACAGACAGGTGCTTGACATGTCTCCACCCTCGGCGCGGACGGTGAATATAGGTATGGAAGACCTTGTTGAACATCGCTGAGCGTTGTGAATTACGTAATCCTGCAGAGGGGGGCGTGCCCGCTGCGAGATCGACGGGAATAAAAGCGCAGAAGACCGGGCGAAACATGCGACGGTCTTGCCAGAAAGGTCATCTGATGATTGTTGCGTTAACAATAATTTGCGGCGTTGGACGTGATGCTTGTTAATGAAAAGAGCCCCCATGGATGAAGGAGAACCTGGATTGGAAACTAACAGCTGATTGCGTTCCCTTCGGTAAGTGCCCGAGGGCACGCGCGGCGGCAGCGGGAGCCGCGTCTGCCGCGCATTCACTGGCGCCGCGTAAGCGTTCACCGGCGCCGCGTAAGAGAAAAACACTAGAAATGGCCCTCTTTTTCAAGGTCGCCTGTATTCGGCCCTCGTGTACGACTTTTGTGCGGAACGGACAATAATAGTTTTGGTCTCATTCGATAGCCCGATCAATTTTGTCTGTCGTGAATAGCTTCTAAACCTAAAAATAAATCCGCATTGCGGTCTAATACCCGTTTCAAAACATGCCGCCCCGCGTCCCCCATAGGCCGTAACCGTAATGCTTAACGGCGGGAGTTTCCAGTCCCGATACTTACCGAACGCTAGGTGGCAGGTCGATCGCCCGGAACGCTGCCCGTAATGTTGAAGGAATAGGAGTTTCCTATCCAGGTTCTTTCATCCATGGAGCCCCTGAAAGGCGTCGGTGAAATCGTTCCCAATTTTGGGTACGCCGTTCCCATAATAAGGAACGCTTGCAGCGCCAGTGTACGAGAGCGTTCCCAAATTTGGGCTCGCGGCCCGGATGATGGACTGCTTTAGAAATAGGGGAACGATTTGAAACTAGGATGGGCCTTACAATATCAAACTCTTTCCCAACAATATTGAGACAAATATCAGGCGGTTCACGATCGTTTTATATTTTTTGGACGTCATTTAGCGGTTCTTTTTCTTGTTTTAAATAATGCCTACATGGCGTTCCCATATTTGGGTTTATCGTTCCCAAAAATGGGAACGAAAATGCGTTCCCGAAAATGGGTACGCTTGACCATAGTTCCGCCTACTGGGTTAAGTTGTAGGTTGTAGGTTTTAGGTTTTCTGTGGTAGATTTCAGGTTGTAGGTGGTAGGTAAGGTTAGGTCAGGTTTGGTTAGGTTTGGTTTGGTTTGGTTTGATTTGATTAGAAAGCATCTCTGGGTATGGCGCCTCTCCTTGGTTGCAAAAAACAAGTGTGACGTCTGCTTTACGGCTACCCATATTTCTTAGCATTAATTTATCAACACAAGTGCTGCCAAACACTACATGTTGCCAATATCTTATAGCTTTGTGATGAATTTGGCTCAAATGTTTGAATGAGCAGATTGAAAGAACTAGAACTAGTGCTATAAGCAGAGATTGTCAGTGTTTTGCAGGCCTGACCCTTACCTCCAGATTGCACTTTCCCAGGTACCTACCTAGTACCTACTCAACTAGATAATTTGCATCACAGAGGCTGAAGTTCAGTGTGCCCACCTAACACCATCCAGACATGGTCCATCTCTCTCAACTGATACCACTTGGCTGCTGCTGATTCCACCAAGTTGAATTGCAGACCATTCCAGGGCCTTGACCATTCCCATCAGGTCTCATGATGTTGAGTGTCAGAGGTCAGAGCCAAGAATGTCTTGAACCTGATCCCTCTCACTTTCAGAAGTCCTGTGCTCTAGGTCGGTACAAGCTATGCTACAGCACAGACTTTTGAAATACATATATGTTAATATACATGTTTTTGTATATTTCTGGTATGAGGTGGGTAATTTGTCTGTTGACCTTTGTTTCATTTTCAGTATTTCAGATGAAGATAAGATAATTTTGCAATTAAGTGTGAGAAGCTTATGCTATTGAAGTGATTGAACAGTGGCAACCATCAAGCAAAGATGAATTTTTGGTACTCAGCATTGTGCTTATTATTTCTCCATTTTTCTGTAAATGCCTTTGAAGAATTCACAAGGGAAAGGTTGGCTCGACTTCGGTAGGTGCTTACTTTACTGTATTTGCTTTCAGATTTGTATGCCTAGACATGCAGTGGTCATGTTCTTGTATTATGAATGACGATTTTGCTTGGAGAGTGACAAAACTACTAGTTCGAGGCTACTGGTGAAAAGTTGGCATTCCTTGTTAATTTGCATCCACCGCGATTTTCCGGTCCACACTCGTCTGTCACCTCACCAGCGATGTTTGTTGCCACCATCGTTTGTGGATCGCCGCCGTCTGCCGCAGGGAAGAGGTGCGGGAGATGTTTCAGCACTCGTACGAGGGCTACCTGCGCCACGCCTACCCGCTGGACGAGCTGCGGCCGCTCACCTGTGACGGTATCGACACCTGGGGATCGTACTCGCTGACGCTGATCGATGCGCTCGACACACTGGCCGTCATGGGAAATAATAGGTAAGAAGGTAACAGAAAACCATTCAGGATACATCAGATGGCCCGAAAGCACTCATAGCAAGTGATGGCGAGGAAGCACCGCGTGTCAACGCCGATCTACGTGGTTATTGCGTAAATGAATAGTACGGGAATGGCAGGAGACCAGATTCTTCGATGCGCTTATTCGGGGGAACTTTGTATGGAATACCTAATGTGTGGTGTTTGGTGTCCAGTAATATGAGATGCTGGACTAAAACAGGCCATTCTTCCAACGACGAAGTGTTTTGATGTCTCCGGCCCCGCGACGGCCCGCGTCCGTCACGACGTTTTCGGGAAAGAGGACCCGACGCTGCGGGAGGTCTTCGCTGACCCATGCCGGGTTATCGAGTTCCTGCGGCGCCTGGGCCGACTATAGAGCGCCCACGGCGCTGGACACTCTGGCGGGGTGCTGGGTTCTCCGGCCCTACCCGGCGTCTGAGCCCGCCGGAACCCGCCCGGGGGCCTGCTGCCCTCCCTGCGCGGACGTCGCAAGTGTCGCCCCCGAGGGGGGCTGGGGCCCTCACGGGCCCCCCATGTGGGCCCACCGGGCCCGACGGCCGGAACGACAACAACAACAACAACAACGAAGTGTTTTCAAACGATCGATCACTGTACAAACACCCGTAAAAGTACGCTGTTCCAACCTTACCTCCCCGTCCCGCCCACTTACCCCCAGCGAGTTTCGACGGGTGGCCGAGCTGATTGTGACGTCCCACTCGGACATGGACCTCAACATCAACGTGTCCGTGTTCGAGACCAACATTCGGGTGGTGGGCGGACTGCTCAGCGCCCACCTGATGCTCGACAGGTCAGTCACTCGCGAACTGCTCAGCGGTTTAGTGGTGGTCGAGTGGAACTCCTGCTCTGGGTAGGAAATGATGGTAGGGATGTTGGCGCTTACCAGTAGCTCCGGTAAATGGACGTGACCGCGAAGTTGTATTATTTGGGGTCAAGTTTTGACAAAAAAAAACTTATGCGAGAATAATATGCGATGTGTTTTTTTCCAAATCAATTAGTCAATCCTCCATCATGTTTCCTTCTGAATGGCTGCATAATTATTCGAAACATTCGCATATTCTCGCCCTTAATCGAAAGCCTTCTGTCATCACTGTATCGTGGATTGCAGGGCTGTTGTGTTTGACTCTACCATGACGTGCAGGGGCGGCGCGTTGCTGCCGCCTGGCTGGCCCTGTAACGGACCACCGGTCCGTGGGGTTAACTCTCACTAATATGACCCGCAGGGGCGGCGCGCCGCTGCCTCCCGGCTGGCCCTGTAACGGACCTCTGCTGGCACTGGCCGTGGACGTGGCCGACCGGATCCTGCCCGCCTTCGACACGCCCACCGGTGAGGACGTGGTGCCTACATGAGTTGGTGTGCTGTGGTGGTGTGATGGTGTGGGCTGGTGATTCCAGCTGTGTACCTTAGCCTACTAACCTCTGCCTGACCCTGTGACACCTCATCTGACCATCAGTTTATGTGATTCTCTGTGTGACATGCTCTATATAATCAAATGGCATGGCTCTTGGTCTGATCCAGTGACATGTCATCTAAGCCTATGATCTAAGTCTGAGTCTGTGGTCATCCATATGACAATGTGACACCCGTCTAACCTTTCATCTAACCTGTCATTTCCCCAGGTATGCCTTACGGCACGGTGAACCTGCGGTACGGCGTACCCCCGGGTGAGACGCCCATCACCTGTACTGCCGGCGTGGGCACGTTCATCGTCGAGTTCGGCACACTCTCCAGGCTCACAGGTACGGTACTGCGTTACTTCGAGCGCTTTGAGCAATGTCATGGTGGTTTATGCACTCATAGATGCAGCGGTGTTCGTGGTTTTGGGATGTTGTTCTGGCAATGAAAATTGATAGAAAAGTTGGAATAGATTGACGCGTGAGCAGACTAGCCCATGCTATTGATTTATATTTTTTTTTCATCGTCGTTTTCAGGCGACTCCTTATATGAGCGTGTGGCCCTGCGCGCCCTGTACGCCCTCTGGGAGCGTCAGTCCACACTCGGTCTGTTCGGCAACCACATCAATGTGTTGACCGGCAAATGGACCGCACTGGATGCCGGCATCGGTGAGTGAACAGACGGCCGGGTTTGATGGAGTGGTTTGTCTCATACTGACACGATCCTAGTTACGTGCTGCTCAATCTTGAAAGTGGCCCAAAAGTTCGTTAAGCCAGTCCGAAAGTAGGAGTCTTCTTCCAAGGCCACTATCAGTTAACCCTTGATCCGAACGTCGTTTTATATTGTGCGTTTAGTTGGACAGCGTTACATTATGCGTCCCCATCAGCTAACGTGTTCTCCCCTGTTTGCCCTACCCTTCTGACTAGTGGCTATTCCCCCACGGCAGGCGCCGGCGTCGACTCTTACTACGAGTACCTGGTGAAGGGCTCCCAGCTGCTGCAGCGGCCAGAGCTGGCCGCCATGTTTGAGGAGGGCCGGCGTGCCGTCGACAAGCACGTCCGTCGCGACGACTGGCACATGTGGGTGTCGATGTCGCGCGGCCAGGTCACCATCCCCGTCTTCCAGAGCCTGGAGGCGTTCTGGCCGGGCCTGCTCTCGCTCGTCGGTAAGGATGAGATAGTGTTTGGTAGTGCTCGTGGGACTCAAAATGTTGCATAGGAGCAGAGACAAAAGTAACTTCGACACATTGCACGAAAATATCATCCAAGCCAGTGGGAGTTGCTCACCTTCCATGTGAATTGACGAGCATTTATAGTTAGTCGCGTGATACCTACTGCGGACGGGGAGAAGGCGCTAAGAGACCGACTGCACGCTCGTATAATGTGTATTATCGTTCCGTGTACTCATTGTCGGCCGCAGCAGATCACTAACCGTTTCCTGCCTCCACAGGGGACGACTCGGCGGCAATGGGCACTCTGCACAACTACTTCCAGGTGTGGAAGCAGTTCGGCTTCACACCGGAGTTCTACAACATTCCACACGGGGAGCCGTCCGATGGTCGCGAGGGCTACCCGCTGCGACCTGAGCTGGTCGAGTCGCTCGTCTACTTGTACCGCAGTACTCGTAACCCCACACTGCTGCGGATGGGCGAGCACCTGCTGCATAGCATCCAGCACTCGGCGCGCACCCGCTGCGGGTATGCCACGGTAAGGACGGGATCAGCTAACTGCTAAGGTTGATGCTCCTTAGCGACTATGATGAACCGAGCTGTGGTCTTTCCGTTTAGTTTCCGTCATTTATGCACTTGGTCTGATTGCCCGCTCCCGGGCAGCAGCTTTTCGCACTGATTTTTTCATTTCTGAATAGTTTCTGATCGAAATATTCTAGTTTTTCGTATGCAGTGGCTGTGTCGACCTTGAGAATCACTTGGTGTCATTATTTTCTGCCCACAGGTGAAGAATGTCCGCACTCACGCGCTCGACAACCGGATGGAGTCGTTCTTCCTGGCGGAGACCACCAAGTACCTGTACTTACTGTTCGACCCGGACAATTTTCTGCACAACCCTGGCTCGTCGGCGGTCGAGGTGGACACGCCGCGCGGACCGTGTGTCCTGCACGCCGGCGGATACGTGTTCAACACAGGTCAGTTGCTCCGCCGCGCCACGCCGCGTCTTGCACGCGTGGGATTGTGTGATTGTATAATCCCGCCTATGAACCCCACTCCTTGTGTCTGTCCACGGTTCTGTCTACGTTCCATCCAGACTTGCCTGATGGAGCTCATCTGCTTTAATCACGTTGTCTCATGTTTACTGCAGCGAAAGCCCACGTGGTGAACCTTGGTCCCTCTAACTGTGTCTGTTCCCTTACCACAGAGGCGCACCCGATGGACCCGGCGGCACTGGCCTGCTGCTCCAGTCCCCGTCTAGACGATATACTGCAGGAGATTACCGACGACCCGCGACACAGACGATTCAAGGTTAGTGATCAGAGAAACTGTCAGTAATAATCATCCTGCCCGGCTTCGTGCTAGCATCTCTCGCTGTCTGCCATCGTCGTCTCATTGATAATGAGCCATGCCTAGAGGCCTGCTTTGTTGTTGTTGTTGTGTTGTGTGTTCCCTCCAGCCGCGTCACCGCGGTGTAGCCGTGCGGCTCTGGAGGTCCCTCACGGCGGCCGCCAGGGCCGCCACCTCTCCGTCGTCGCGGACGTCTTCCGGGCTCGGGAAAATCGTCCCGTACCTCCGGAGACGCCAGCCCATGAGGGCCGGGCACCGGAAGAAGAAGTGCCGGGGCATGTCGGCCTCCTTCCGGCACACGGTGCACCGGCCCGCCGCACAGTCGGTGTCAGGGCACTGGCGGCCTACTTTCGACCCCACCTGACTGCCCGTCTCTCCCCCAGCTGTTCGGGGGCCGGCCGGTGCGGCCGCGGCCACCGCCCGTCGCCACTGCCGTGTGCCGGCGGCCCACGCTACAGGAACTAATAGCCGAGCTGGCGTCACCGCGCCGACTCTCCGACGCCGCCAGGGCAGACTCAGAGCAGCGGTGTCTGAGACATCTGGAGATAATGCGAGACCCGGCGGCGGAGCGCAGTTACGAGAGGTTGCGCTGCGATCGGCCGCCGTTCGAGGACCGGCTGTTGGTGCTTAATGAGGTATTTACCAGCTGACAGCGTTCAACCGGCGCGTGGACTAAAAGGGGGAGGGGAGGATTGAGAGATTGGTGACTGAGCGCGGGGGAGTGGCCTCGGATGACACGGACAAGTGAAGCACGCACGGAATGCAAAACGGCTGAGCTCAGTCACATCGATGTCTGGTGGCTGAATGAGGCGACTGGGGACCAGTAAGATGAATTTATGAGAATGTGAGGGTCGGCGAGGATCTCAGCCACGCTGGAGTCGTACAAAAAAGAGAGACGGTGATGCCAGAGCCCAGACTTCCGAGTATTGATCTGCGGTGTTACCTATTCCATTGATGACTGCCTCGGCCAGTATCGGTCGTTGTTGCTGTGTGCTAGCTGTAGGTTTGATGGAACATATCTGGTTGTTTTTAATTTAACAAGTTTTATGTATTGTTACAAGTATTTCCGGACGCACCAATGTGTTGTATTACACATTCTGTGAGTGTTGTGCAGTGTCGGGGCTGGGCGGGTGCATGGCTGGGTGGAGTGTTAACCGTCTGGGAGTGGTGTATTCGACGTTCGTTGTCAGTCTCTGGGGTGTACCAGGGTGTTTGTACCTCGGATCGTGTGTACGGTACGCGTTGTACGCCGTCCTCCTCAGCTGTGATCGGGATATCCCGGGCTCCCGCGGAGCATGGGAGAATATCGGGGGAATATATCCACACTCCCGCGGAGTCTGGATCTGTGTATTGTTTGACTGTGATGTCCACAGTCAGTTCCATGTGAGTGCACTATTCCGACGGCACGCGGTACGGAATCACGCCGATCGAGCTACTGGCGCGGGCCGTCGCTGCGCTGTCGCCCCTCTTATGCAGGGATTTGTGGTGGCAAACGGCTCTGAGCCTAACGTCAAACATGAATTGGCGGGTATCACAAGGTCTGACCAATACATGCTAATTGTTTTCGCGAATCTTCTGAGCGAGCGTAGCGACAGCGAAATATTGACGTATTTTTGCATCGCCGTTTAAGTAGCCGAGGGCATTGGTTTCCCCGAGAAACCCGACAACTGCACTTGACAACTGTACAAATGACCACGAGCAATAGGCTTCGACTCTCCAAATGTAGTTGTCCTGTTTTCGTGAATGACGGCAACTCACTGTAGATGTGGTCAATCATGCGCATTAATCCAAGCGATTTCAATATCAAATATATTCATATGCGAACAGTAGCGGTCACGACGCGACACTTTCAAGCGGCCCGGCCAAAGGCTGAACACATCCCGTGAAGGAGAAGCCTGGTACAGCAAACGCCCACCAGACGAAGGCTAACAGATCACACACAAAACAACTCTCCAGCAAACTCTTGCACGGCACGGGAATTGCAAGTTGCAACGAGATACAGCACACAGCGAGCATAAGTGACACGCTAGCAATTGCAGACTCCCATCTGTCCGTCCACCCGTCAGTATGTAGGTCTTTACTCTTCCTTCTTATGCTCCTCCACGGGTCCGTCCGATCCGTCTGTCAGTCAATAATTCAAACACGTCCTTCAGTCTACCTCCTCGCGTTTACGGCCCATCCTTCTCTTACTGCGTTTCTGGCACCCGTTATCTAGGCCTCTACCCGCAGCAAATTCAGCGCCAGCATTCAAAACGTCCGCTCGCCGTCTACCTACGCACGGAATGGATTATCTCCAGTCGGTGGGCCGGCGGGAGAGGAAGGCAAGAGGCCGCCCATCGCCAGGCACATAACGTTCGATATCGTGAAGGCAGACGGTCGAGATACCGCGGTTGAGCCAGACCATAGTACATATACGGCGATCTTGAGTGGGAAATAAGCATGCGTTAGAGAGCACTATTTGAGTTCCGCCGGCAAATGCGGAAAGGGTACAGCATGGGGTAAGAATCCTGACTGGTACCGAACTCATGGGAGACATACTGGTCCAGCGTCCAATGTTTGTTCAGCCAGTCCCATGCTACTCGCACCGCACAGGTCAAGACCTATCCCCAGACTTGAGAGTCTTGGCTACTAGGCTCAGAGATCGCCATCGACTCCAGAACCAGTGTTGAGAGGAGACAGCGTCCCTCAGAACAGATCAATGACAAACGGCTTTAAAAACTAGGGCCGACTCGGACCAATGAAATCATGCTGATTTGTGAAACTAAACGGCTACTTCATTGAAGAAACCAGCAATAAACAGGTATTAAACAAACGTATCTACACCTATCCGTGCTGCTATCCTCAGGATACTGAAATCCTTCTCCTCCACGCCACAACCCCCTTCCGGGCTGGACAGGCAACTTTATCTCATGCGGGCTGCTCCCTTGGAGCAGCACCGCTGCCCCCTAGGGAGCTGCACCCCGTAGCCGGGTGCAGAGAGTGCTTGGGGGGCTGGTCGGCCTGTCCTATGGACGGGCTCAGCCCCGGCGACTCTCTAGGGTGCCTGCCCAGACCAATGTCTCCCCCTAATTCCTATCATCCTTCCGGCTCTGCAATGGTCTTGTCGACCGAAAGGGCCTAACCCAATAAAAAAAAAAAAAAAAAAAACGTATCTGACACGGCGGTACAAAAATATACAAAACACTAACTGTCTTGGAAGACGTCATATCTTGGGACAACTGCGCTGCAGTCATCAACACTGAACACGTAAAATAAATAAGTGAAACTCATCGCGATGGGTTTCGGGTTAGGATGGCCTGCGCCTTACCTTACCAACCCAAAGCAAAGGGCTGGCATTAGATTCTCTGTAGCATCTGCATGCATCACAACGGGATAGCGTTTTCGTTAGGCATACGTGAAACACGCGCCCTTGCATCAGAAAGAGGACTAATCAAAACTCCATCCCGCGCAGTGTCAATTCACGCACAAAACCACACCATAACTTCATGCGGGTTAGTAAACAATCATAAGCAAACAAACTGAGGTGCCTACTTAAGTTAATCAGTCAGCCTAGCGCCAACTCGTACTCAGGTTCATCTGTAAGTATCGGTACGTGAAAGCTTTCAATAGCAAATGGTCTCTTGTTTTCATATCGCTGTCTTCATATACTTTCTTTACACCCTCAAGACAATCACTGACTCCGGACGCCACAGCTCCACTGGTGCTCGTACCAGTCAGTTTGTACGGAATCGGATGCGGAAGGTGCGCTGACATCCATCCAGGGACTCGTCTCCGCCATCCATCCGCCGGGCGCTGGGTTGGACCCTTTCCTTTCCTCTCCATGCTCCTCGCTCACCCTCCAAACTGGACGGAGGGCTACCATTCCCAGCAAACCCACTCAACAGCATACTCTGGAAGCCCCTTCATGACCAACCAGCGACCTGGGTCGCTTCCAGCTACCGACCGACTAGCGTCCCATCATGGCACGTTTCTTCATGGCCATTTTGCGCTTTTTGTGTTCCATTTCCTTTCGGAACTCTTGCTCGTCCTCCTCCGCGGCCAGACGGGCCGAGCGGGCCTCCTCGCTCATCAGAGTGCTGAAGTCGGCCTCCATATCTGAGTCGTCCTCGTCAATATCCCGGTACCTGAGGGACGGACGAGGGAGGGTTGGAACGGTTACGTGACGTGTATGAAATATACGACTCCGCGGTGACTGGCACAACTACGAAGGCAGAAACAGATGTTTGTGAGCAAAATACACGAAATGCCGACGCATGACATACAGTCGACGCGCCGTGAATTTCTATCCTCTTTCCTGTCATAAAATTTCAGACGCTGTCAGCAATTTGAAGACCTCTGATCACATGGCGATCTATCAACCGCCCATCTCTGTCGGTGCTACTTACTTGCTCTTGTCGTAGCCGAAGATCTGTTTGATGGCCGACGAATAATCGTTCTCGTCTCCTTGCGGACCGTCGTCGATAAAGTCGTCCATCTCGGAGTCGTACTCCGAGTCGTCCGACTCGATACGGTCTGTGAACGAGACGTAACGCTCAAACACACTGCACCGGATCGGAAAAGACTATCGGTGCGATAACGATAGTTGTGACGTAACGTGCAACACAAGGGCTCGATATGGAAACAGGATGGCCATTGGTCATGTATTAGAAGTTGAAGCACCGTAAAAGTGTAGATCGACTCAGTACAGCATGTCCGCACGACAAGATAGTCGCCTATCCAAATAGGATTTCCGAAGCTCGTTAACATCTAGGAATACATGTGCCTCCCCCCGAAGTCACCGCGGTGCAGCCGCCCGTACTCACTGTGTCTGGCCGGCTGTCGGCTGAGGTTGGCCGGGTTGAAACGACGCTTCTTCATGTCCGCCGGCGGGAACTGCTTCGGCTGCAGGTCGGCCGGCGGGAACTGCTTCCGCTTTACATCCGCCGGCGGGAACTGCTTCCTCTTCATGTCAGCAGGAGGGAACTGCTTCGGTTTGAGATCAGCAGGAGGGAACTGCTTCGGTTTCACGTCCATCGCTGGTTTCTTTTTGGCCTCCGGCGCGTGTTTTTTGGCTGACGGCGGCGGCGGCGGGGACGATTTCCGTTTGGAGGTGGACGGCGGCGCCAGGCCGGGCCGCCGCGGGTCCGGTGGTGAGGCCGCTCTCCGGCGCACCTCCGGCGCCGGTTTGCGCTGTACGTCAGCCGCCGGCGGTCGGGACGGGCTGTCCTTGTGCCGGGGTTTCTCGGCGGGCCGCGCGCCGGACGGACCGGGCCGCGGCTCCGGTTCCGGTTCCTCCCTCACCACCGCCTCAGACTTCACCTCCTTCTTGGGTATCTTTGAACCGCGGCGGGGCTTCTCCGGCGGCAGGAGGTCGTTGTAGTCCTTGTGTTTGGCCGGCGGCAGTTTGCCCTGTTTGCGCAGCTCGCGCTGCCGGCTGGCCTCCAGGTCGGCCTTCTCGCGGGCGGTAAGGGGCCGCTGCTCCGGGTCAGCAGCCGGCTTCTCCGGTACCACGATCGGCTGATGTTGCTTCTCGGCCGCCAGCGCCAGGATCGAGTGGAAGTCGAGACCGGGCGGCGGAGGGGCGCCTCCGCGACGCACCGGAGGCGCCTTCTTCTTCTTTCCTCCGCCCCCGCTGTCGTCGGCGGCGCGGCCGGCGGTGGGCGAGGCGGTCCGCGCGGCTGTCTCTGTTGCTGTCGAGGACTCGCCGTGCTTCCGCCGCCGCCGGTGGCCCTTCATGTTACGCTCTTCCTCCTCCTGGTTATCCAGGGACTGCTTCACGCGCGCCTGCAACGCACCATGACCGTCAGACGGTGCCGAGTTCCGTCAGACACGGCCAAATATCGATACATCAAACATATAAGAATCACCGCTACCAGCATGAGCAATCAGCAGATGCTTCCACATACCAGAGATAATGCGACGGGAACGCGATAAGCCAACACAGTAATTGGTCCTAACTCCTACACACACTACACACATGATACATTTATAGCGACCACACCAGCATAATGACCCACCTTGGTGGCGGCCAGGTCGAGACTGCGCTCCGCGTTTGCCTTCGTCTTCTTCTTCTGTTTGAGGTACTCCTTGTCAGGCATCTTCTCGTACTGCTGCAGCAGCTTGCTGTACATGTCCGTGGCCGTCTTAGACTCGTATCCATAGTCATCCTCGTCTGGCTGGTAAGCACCTGCCACGCAAAAGAAACGCTCGGTAAAAAATAACTATATAAAGCGAGGCCGAAGAGCGGTAAACAGGACCCGCGTGTTATTGCTAACTATCATGAGTCCAGAAGGATTGTTATGCAACAAATTGTGCCTCGCTCCGAAACAAAAGTCGTCCTCCGTCTCCGTACCGTCGATGGTGGCAGCCGTGTTGTACTTGTCCTTAGCGTCCTCCAGTACGGAGCGGTTGGCGCCTTTGGTGCGGTTTAGCATGGCGCTCACCCGCCGTTTGGCGCCCTTCTGCTCGCTGCGCAGGTGCAGCAGTGTCTGCCAGGGGGAGTAGAGGGGGGGGGGGATCAGTTGGTGTCGGCCACCCCCACGGTGTTACGCTGCCGCCGACGAGAGTCGATCGTCATCTATTTTAGATAAATCTCTGCATTTACACTTGCTTAGAAATACAAATAGGTCATCTGATATTCAAAATTTTAGTCTGTAAATGAAAATAAAACGATTAACACTATTAAATGCCAAACCTCCCAGGACCAGCACTTGTCAACCTATCACCTGACTAAGTATATGCTTATCATATCTAGATTGGCACTAAGTAGGCACTAAGTACAGACCTCTTTCTTCTTCCTCTCTTCCTCCTGCTTCTTCTTCTCTTCAGCCTCCCTTTGGGCGAGGAATCTCTGGATATTGCCAGACTTGACTTTTGACTTCTCAAGCTTTTTTGGTTTAGAAAGTTCAGTTGAAAATCGCTTTTGTTTAGCCTGTTGGGTAACAGAAAAAAGTACAGAGTTGATGGAATATGATCAAAAACTCTATTATCAAAGACATTCAGACAGACTTTCATTTAATTTCATACAATAAAAAAAATCAAAAATGCCACAAGCTAACTGTCTTGAGCTTCCTATATCAGTCAAAAAATACATACCAAATCCCTTGAGGCATCCTCATTTTGCTTTGCAATCTCCAGAAGATAGCCAAAATCCATCTTGATTGGCTTTGCTTAGCTGGAAATAAATTCACAAATGAAAAGTCATGCTGAGGGAGTACTGTTTCAGCACAGGAACATGGTACACCAACCTTCATACAGCATATAACATATGCAATTCATGACACATATACATAAAGGAAAATCATTAATCCACAGGAAACAGAGTAGCAGTTTACAGGAATGCTGCAAGTGGCATGCTATAATGGGTTCAGTATACAACCATGGCACTGACAATCATAAACATGAATCAAAATGTATGTGGAGAGAAGTGAGACTCCCTGTGAGGTTCTGGAGATCAAATCTGAGCAGATATTTAATTCAGTTTACTGGAGATCAAATCTGAGCAGATATTTAATTCAGTTTACAAATTGACCAACTGGTTCAGTTCACCTGAAACCTGGCACACACAGCAGCACATTGATCATTCTACATTTCAGGCCCCAGGGTATTTCTGCAATGCAGGGGTACATCCCATAGGCCATAGCAGTTCTGTGGCTCAGTTGGTAGAGTATTGGTCATTGGACACTCAGCAATGGGAGCACAGCTTTGAGTCATGCCAGTGCTGAATATTTGAAACTCCTGACAGAATAGGGATGTTCTATGCCCCATGGTACGTGGGTCATGGGAGCAGCTGCAGTCAGTTGAAGTCAGTTGAGAGTTGACTTGAGTTAAGTAGGACAGGCTGTGTCTGGCTCTGATGGGCCAGCACCTTTAGATTAGGCATTTAAATTTTCTTGTTACCCATGGCCAGGATTGTTGGATCAGATGGCGGGTGTCGGGGTGTGCACAATATGTGTTTTATAGAGTGGGCTCAGGCTCTGTTGATCATTAATCAGGCATTCAAACATTTGAGGTAATTTTTCTTTTAAAAAATGTAGCAGTGTTTATAAAGTTAAAATTATGTTGGTCACTAAATCAAATGCGTTGAAATCTGAAAATGTGATGCAATGATATATTTTTACAACTGCCCAGTGCCCACAACTTGAACTGAAAAATCACAATCACACGAGAACGCGAGAAATACCTTTATTGTCTAGCCAAATAAAACAGATCAGGCAATTCTGTAAATAACGAGGGTATATATGTGTACTGTCTTAAAATGGTAACCAGAATAAGTGGGATCTCTTATAAAAACCATTTAAATTGCCATTTAAAATCAAATTATCAGTGCAACACTTCAGCATCAGCCCTCAACCTCAGCAAAATACCATATTGTCCCAAACTGCCTTCAATGCAAGCAATCATTAGCTTACCACGTGATTGATAAGCGAATTGGAAATTCAACTATATAATATTTTGCAGCTATTACTCACCGTGTCATAAATATCACAGGAATATAAATCCGGCCTCTGCGCTTTTTTCATTCATGTCAAGGCAGACATAAAGGGATTTTCGACGGTGCAACCATATTGAAGGGAAATATGGAAGCATAAGATCCAATCACGGCGCATTTGATACAAAGGTATACACGTGAATTTCGCTGTGTTTTTTGCCGGTTTTGTGGAATTGCAGGGGTAATTTGATAGTTAGGGGGCTTCACAGTCATATTTTCATATTGCAGAAGAAAAAAAAGACAAAACTGAATCATCATTGTCCTTAGGTGCGACATCAAAGTGGTGGTCTTACGTCTTTCCCCGATCACAATCCGTATCTGATCCGTGCTCGATTCAATTCAATCCAATCCCAATCCCAAACCCATTCTGATTCAATTGCACGTTATTGATATGGTCATGGATCAGGAGCAGCAGAACACCTTCAATTAAGGGGGCACTGCCGACTTTTGGTCCCATTCTAATCCATGCAACGCCTGAGGGCTAATGTTAAAATGCCAAAATCAAAGGGGGTGCGGTGCCCCAGTGCCCTCCCCGTTCCGCCGCCTATGTCATGAATATAAGATATAGTCCCACTTCTGTTAAAAGTGCATTGTATAATGTGCATGGATGTACCCAAAGGTTGTTTCTTCATTAGACAAACACTATTCTTTAGAATTGTGTTTTTCTATTGAAAAACAAACTGAGGGTGTTTCCATTAACCAGAGGTTGAAGACTTGAATGTCTCTTAGTGTGCTCATTATGGCAATCTCCAATAATTGGACATGCCACCAGCACAAGTGTGTGGGACGGGTTCTTTCATACTGATGCTGCCACCTGCCACCAGCATAAGTCAGCAGTGAAGTGTGTGGGTTCTCCATGCTGATGCGAATAAGATGCAATACCTGTCAATCTCCACTGCTCATGTCAATGTGATATTCTCAGTATTCGTGATAGCTACCTATCTCATTCTCAAAGGACCAACACCTGTCCTGCCATTACTATTCTTCAGACTTCCTGTCACTGTCGGCATATCTAACATAAACTAACCTGACCTAACCTTACCTACACCTACAACCTACAAACCTAAAACCTACCTATAAACCTAGCATTGAAATGACACCTATCCCCATTTGAGGGTCCCAGGTTTTCTTATCCAGTCTTAGCTATGATCTCGCTCCTCCCCTCCCCTCCTTGCAGACATCTGCACCAGAGATGTTGTATGATGGGTTGAGTTGACCACTGTTGTGTGATTGGCCAAGGACCACTGGCCACTGGCTGTGCAGTCTGTGTACAGTGACCACTAGGCACTGACAAGTTGCTAAACATTGTGAGATGGACAGCATTGCCCCACCAGGGCAGCTGCTAGCCTGCATGTCCCCAGCATGTGGGGCAATCCCAGGTGCAACATTAGTTACATTACCTCACCTCAGTGTTCCAAAGTTGTATTTTGACTTGTGTGTCAGAGGGGAAATTCCTCTCCAAAAAGGGGGTTGATACTTGATAGTGGTATACATTTCTATATAAGTGTGGCAAAAAGTAGGATGCACAACAATCATCCACACAAATGCTTTTCTCAGTAAAATTGGGAGTGAGAAATTGCTGTTAAAATTGGAGGTGAGAGTGCAAAATGTTTTTCATGACATGTGGATGCTGTTTCCCACCCAAATCAACAATTTTTGTGTCTATGCCTCTCCTCCCCTGGGGCATAGTACATGGGTACATTGCTATCTCCTCAAATGCCATAATGGCTGGCTGCAGTTGTGACCAGGTCTCTTGAGAGCAAACATCTGTTCCATGCCTGTCATGTCTCCCAGAGGCACCAGTGTCAAATCTGGTGCCGGCAATATCGAAGGCGCTACTGGCGTTGAGTCCCCTGCTGCATTGTGGATGTCTGTGAACCTCCGGCTTGTGCCCGCGCTCTGTCCGCTGTCACCGGCGGCTCGGTGGTCGGGTGTGCTGTACCAACTACCAGTGTCACACACGGGTCGAAAGACGAGTGTTTCGTCGGCATCGTTTCTTGCCGCCTTCCCTCCGGTGGAGGGGGGGGGGGGAGCATGGGCATGGCCGTACCGGCGCCGAAGATGTCGACGGTTCCTCACCAGCACCAATCTCCAAACAGATAACGCATTGGCGGTGTTAATGCTCCTCCACGACGATGCCTTACCGCCGCACCGGTGCTACCAGCTGGTCCCAGGCTCCCATACGGTCACTTTGGACCGATGTGTAACTCCAGCAGATCCTGTGTGGTGTGGTTGTAGGCCCTCTCGATCTTCTGCCGAACTGCGGCAGGGGCTTCAGCAGGGTCCAGTTTGCTTACTGTGGTGAGTCGGACGGGTCTTTTCTGCCGGTCTACTGTAAACCAGCTGGACCGGGGACAGTCCTGTCAGACCTGACTTCTTCCACAGCTGGACAATGTCCTGTGGTGGCCGCGCGTGGCTGAGACCGGCATCGGGTCACGTGACGGGTCATGGTCGCCTGCGTGGCTGTGGCTGGCCGATGCCGGAACACGAGCATAGTCGACATTCATTAGGACTCGCGACTGGCCGCGGAGCTCAGAACTGCAGGCTCGGGACGGGACCGGCACTCAATGATCGATGTTGAATGTGGCACCCGATGCGTAACTACCAACTTCCATGTTCGGTAGTAATAGTGCAATTGTGAGCCAGTGCCTGGTCGTTCTTTTAGTTTCTAGTTTTTTTCATCATCTCACAACGCTCACGTTTTTACCACAGTACCAGGACAGAACCCACCGACGAGGCCGCCCACAAGTACCCGAGCTCATTGACCTGTTCATGTATTGCTATGATACATTAATATAATTTTACGTTTTATTTACAGGAATAATCGTACTTATGATTAAGTGACCAAGTCCTCAAAACTTCAGTCACCATGGGGGCTGGAGATAAAAAGCTGGAAAATAGATACAAGGTGAGATCTATGGCATGCTAAACATATCTTCCATCCTCGCCAATAAAATGTGTTGTGTTAGTCATCCGTGTCAATGGCAACCATTCACTTTTGTCATCACTTTTGTATTGCAAATAGTTAACTTAAACTTTCGCCTGGGCTAGGGATGAGCACGGCTGATTTTGAATGCATCATAGTTCCGTCACCTGTTGCCGAAATCATGCTTGACGGGATTATAATCGTGTGCATTGTTCCGCAGTTTAAAACATTTTCGGAGCGTATCGCGGAGATATCCGTCAATGTCGCTCAGAACGTCAGTCTCCCTCGCAACGAGACGCCAGAAGATGCCGATACGTTCTTCTTCGAGGAACTGCAAAAATGGGTCGATCTCAACCTAACCGAACATTACGCCGAGTAAGTGTACGAAGTCGCTTCGACTCGAATGTGTGGCTGCCTCTTCCATGGCTTGCCTAATACCCTTTCGATAATACCGCTATGTTCATGTGTAAGATTTTCACATAATAATCGCTATGCTGGTACATATATAATTGCTTCCTGACGCCAATCGTGACCTCAGTTTTCAGAATGAGCTCGGTCCCGATGTGCAGAGTTTCGCACAGCTGCTGCACCGCAAAGATGAGATCATCGAGCTGCTCAAGAAGCACCTGTCCGTGGAGAACTCGCTCGCCCTGCAGCCTCTGCTCGCGTTAGTATCGTAGGGATGGTTATAAGCAGCGCACTGTTAATGAGGATGTCTGAAACGCCGCTAATGATGGTTGATTGGTATTGTAACAAAGTTACAAGCAGGCTACCTAGGCGAGTTTTTCGTCCATCATTACTTTTTACGCTGATATTGGACATTGCAGCACCAGCTGACAGTGCCTAGACAACAGCAGGAACATTTCAATTATCATTTTTCGTCATCTTCTCGCACATACAGCTCTCCTGACCCTCTGTGTACCCCTGCCTCTGCAGTCTGCTCTCGGCGCTGGCGAGAGACCTGCGTGCCGACCTGGGGCCGCAGTTCCCGGCCCTGTTCGAGCTGCTCTGCCGTCTGCTGGACACCCGCGACCCGGAGAGGCTGCAGTGGCTCTTCACCTGTCTGGCGCACCTCTACAAGCAGCTGTGGCGCCACCTGGTGGCCAACATCGAGCAGACGTACCGGATGTACCGGCAGCTGCTCAGCGGCGGACGGCCCGACCATGTGGTCCGATTCGCCGCCGAAAGCTTCGCCTTCGTCTGCCGCAAAGTCAAGGACAAGAGCAAGTTCTTTGGGTTCGTCTACACGAAGCTGAAAAGCGATCCTTCGGTAAGTGCCAGGCGAGCTGTGCTCTTTTTAATGCATCTTGGACTGTGACTATTCCGTTGAGCTACTAAAGGGAGACGAGTGCTTCACGCTTCGGAACCTCTTCATTCTTTTTTTGTCATCTCTGGGCGATAAGTACCCTCAGGTATTCAGAGGATACTTTCAGTTGAACTGCGTGTGCCACGATTTTTCTTCCCATTTCTGCTACGCTGCCCACTGCCCAGTTGTAGCACATCTGCTAAACCGATGTAACATGAATCGACACCGATGTTCCATCCAAAGGTCTGACCGACCTCTCCCCGTCCCCACAGCAGGCGACCGGCGTCGGCCGGCTGGTGTTCGAGACTCTGCGCGGTGTGCGCGGACACCTCCACACTGAGGCCGCAGCCGTGCTGCGCGTGCAGCTCGAGCTGCTCGGCTCGGAGCGGCTGCCGGCTGAGCTGGTCCAGCAGGCGCTCAATGTGGCCCTGCTGGCCGCTGCCAGACACGTGACCAGGGAGAACGCCGCACCCATATGGGCCGAGCTCTGGGTGAGTGCTGGGATATATTAGGTTAGAAGAAAGACGGCGCCACTTTATAACCGTGAGGCAATATTGGACATGCGTGGTATGTCTTGTGTGTGTGGGTATGCAGGATGAAGATATATGAAAATTGAAATAGTAATTCGAGCGTGACTTTGCTTGTGATACCATTTCACGGTCGGTTTTCTTTAAATTTTGATCGTTTTGATTTTAATGATGATGTGAAAAACTTTATTTTCAATATGTGCTCATACAATCTCTGGAAACTTCGATCTGACCCCTCTCCTCCT